TGTGAAAGCAGTACCTGAGAAGCTGAAAGCAGTACCTGAAAAGGAGAAAGCTTCTGTGTTGCAAATCACTGTAGGTTAAGACTAGAGAGTTTGTGGTACTGTGTTGGTGTCGCTTCCCGTTACTCCTGGTCCTTTCATACGGACCTGGAAGGGAAGCCCTGCAGTGGGTAAATGCAGGAAATCACATCCCCAAGGAAAACCTACCCTCAAAGCCCAGATAGTTACAAGATTGATTTATGCCTAGAGTTTGAAGGCTCATATCCCTTCTAAAACATTTAATGGCTTAAGATTTATTGCAAAGCTATTCTATTAATCCTATAAAGTGCTTAGCCTTACTAATGTTTCCTGACTTCTGTAGCTCCAGCTTTGAATAGAAAAGCATTTAGTGCTTCTGAAATAGAGACCCTTTCATTGTAACTATTCTTGTTCAATAAGAAGGTGAAGGAAGGTTTCTGATATTGTGTGCGCTAATTGCATTCTCTAAATGCAATTAGGGCAAACTCTCTAAATAGCTACTGTAAATGGCAATAACTTTTCATGATTATTTTTCCATGCTCCATTAAGCTGGCTCCACATAGACAGGATGAACTTGTCTGTGTTGTTTGTGAGAAGAGACGTGCAATATCAAATACCCAAAGTCTTGACAATGCACTGTATGCATTTGATAGGCTACATGGCAACTTTTTAGCTTTTTGGTCACATTAACTGAAAACTTCTCAGTTATGCTTGGTGGTATTTTTCATTAGTTGGTAGCTTGTTGTTTCAGTCAGAGTTGCTGCAGTTAATGCACAAACTCTTGCAATATGTTTCAGTTCAGGGGACGAGGTATTTCTCAGTGATGAATTTCATATCCAGTTTATTTCTCAATTCATTTAATTTCGTGGAGACTTTGTAGTGTTGACTGCTGCATGCTACAGGCCAACCCCAAATCTGTAATGGAGTTCTGTAGGTGCTAGAAAAAAGGTACCAACAAAACAAAACAAAACCCCCAAAAAGGAACTGCAGATATCTTCTCATTCTCAATTTATTCTGAAACTTATTAAATAAAACAGCTGAGTGCTGCAGATATGAGCACCTTAGGCAACTTTTTATGTTTTCAGGTTTTTATGATGTATATTCAATGTGTGCTTCTCTTATAAATAATTAAAAAGTTAGTAATCATTTAATAATAAATTTTAAAAAGTGCAACATTTTAACTTTTAGAATCCTGCTATTCCACATAGTTTTTTAAGATAGGATATATTTTGAAAACATTAGCATTGCTATCAAAATTTATATATAGTTCATGTTATTATAGAACTGTATAAGTGAAACTTAGGTCATTTCTTACCAGTGTGAAATTGCTCCAAAGGTTTACAGCACATGATTTTGTAACAGTTTTTCCTTGTGTTTGGAAATGAAAAATTGTCAGCTTTAAATTGATCTTCACATAGATAAGACAGCATCATCCGATTTAAAAAAAAAATAAAATAAATAAATAAAGCCCACAACTTTAGCATAACATGCGAGTTTTAGGTAAGATTGCATCCACTTTTTGAGCATATTGCTGCCATTTAGCCCTCCTAGAAACTCCAGAAATAGATGTGCCTTAGCAATCTGAGCCTCTCACCTACCGAGAGTGGAGCTCTTCCAATTCTGCTGTTAACTCTGCATTCCTTTGCTGAAAATGTTAATTACACAACTGTTTTCTTAATCTCTCCCATGCACAACCTCTACGTGCTGGCTGACAGCCTGACTCGTAGCTGATGAAGGCTTTTGTATTCTAATGGACTATGAATCTGACGGAGGAAGAGCTGAGTTCTGGTGTGAGCACCGGCTCTTGAGCAAACTGGCCAGGTGACTTTGACCTCTTTGGTCGAAAAAGCAAACAGTGAGACTGGTTGAGAGGCCCAAGTCCCTTAACAGGATTGTCTAAAATTCAGGGTTATTTAGAAGTATATGGAACATACTGTTTGAACTGTGATTGAGTAGGCTATTAGAATATGGATATAGAGTGAAGTAACTGTGGGGAGTGATGTGAACTGCAGTGTACATTAGCCCCTCTGCATTGCCTGCTCAAGCACATACTTTTCTTTGCAATGTGTCTAAGGTGGATTGGCCTTTTCCCATTAAAAAGAGTCGCTCCTTTTTATTTTTCCTGCTAGCTGTCTCATGGAAAGTGTGTGAAAGCTTGGGGATGGCTTGAGGAGAGCAGACTTTGTCCTGTTCAGGGACCTGCTTGGAAGAATCCCATGGGATAGAATCCCAAAAAAGGCATCCAAGAGAGATGGTTGATATTCAAGGCTCCCTCCTCCAAGCTCTGGAAAGGTCTTTCCCCACGAGCAGGAGAGCAAGCAAAGATGTCAGGAGCCCTACCTGACTAAACAAGTTGCCCCTGGCAAAACTCAAATAGAACATGAAAGCAGGATGAGGTGACCTACAAAGAACATAGAGAGGGTATCTGTGCAAGGAAGGAGAGGGTCAGGGAAGCCAAAACCTAACGGGAGCCGATTAAAGAATAGGGTGAGGATCATTAAGGATGAGAAGGGCTTCTATGGGAGAACCAACAGCAAAAAGAAAGGTAGGGAAAATGTGGCCCTGCTACTGGGGACAGGGGACTTGGTCATACAGGAAATGTCAGGATACTCAATGCTGCCTTTGCCTTGGTCCTTGGCTGTGTTTCATTTTGGAATATCCAGTCATTATATCATAATCCTGTAGCATTGAAAGAAAGGTAACCAGTATCTGTAAATCTTTTCTTTGGTTTTTCTGCTTAGTTGCCTGCTAAAGTTAGGCTAGGTGCTTCATAGATGCAGCTGTTAAAATATTTGACTAGTACTACAAAAGTACCTTAATTAACAGTGCTCCTTATGTAAGTACATGCATTATGTGTTATCTGCAGTCCAAGTATTCACAAAGGAAATCACTAATTAAACTATTAATAGATTCTTTATAGAGAATGGTATGTGCTGGTTTTTGAATAGAGAATGAATGAAGAGCGATTCCTCTTGCCTTTTGCATAAAGATGCAACAACTGCCTAGAAATCTGCTGTTTTGTTTCAGTCTTTAGCAAAACATGATTAGGTTCTTAAGTGAGGAATCTTAAAATTCTGCTCTCTTTTTGATGCAGTCATTCGTAGATAGGGCTAGTTGGTTTTGGAAGGGTCATGTTATTTACATGGGTTTGGATTTGAATTTGCTGTTTGGAGGATTCTGTTATCTTTGGGCAATTAATAGACAGTTTTTAATGAAAACATGGAAATATTATTTATATAGAACCAGAGGATTACAGGACTGAAAGGAGTTCAGAAAGCAATTGTTAAAGCTAGCAGCACAGAAGCAGAGCAGGTGCATTTATAGCATTTGTAGTGGCAGGAGGACAAACATTCTCTGAAGGCTCTAGCAATGAGCTGTCACTGTTGATCCCTGTAAATTATTTCTGAGGATTTTTCTGCCTTCAGGATCAAATCCTATTGATACTTTGCTTTATCTCATTAAAGGTAGAATGACTTTGTCTCCCGGAAACAGTTTGCTGTGTATTTGCAAACTGATGTAGGTCTTCCTTCCACCTACCGCTCAAACGCAGCCCTTCATTCTTTCCCTGGTCATTCTTTCCCGTGTCTTCTAGGACCCTGGCAGTTTTTCTGCACTCAAATGGGCTTCCTCATTAATCCATGTTTCCTAGCACGGGAAACCACACCAAACTCCTGCTGAGACATTGCTCTTATGGAGCAGAATGGCAGGATTCCTGCATTTATCCGGCAGGCTGTTGGTCCCTGTTTGCCTCTCCAGCTGGTGCAGGGCATCAGTCCCTGGAGCTTCATTTCCAACCCCCTGAGTCTTTTCCACAGAGCTGATGCTTTCTCTGTTGATCACTCTCCTGCATTTATACAGCTGATTAATCTTTCATTTCTCCCCCTTGAATAGCATCATGCATTGCAGTACCTACCCATTTTGGCTACAATTATCAAGATCTCTCCAGTTCTTTCCCTGTCCCCCAGTGTGCCCTGTGATACCTCTCTGCACGATGTCCTCTCCTCTGTTACATATCTCACCAATAAAAATCATAGAATCATAGAATGCTTAAGGTTGGAAGGGACCTCAGAGGTCATCTAGTCCAACCCTCCTGCTCACGCAGGGTCACCTAGAGCACGTGGCACAGGGCTGTGTGCAAGTGGGTTTTAAAGATCTCCAGAGAAGGAGACTCCACAACCTCTCTGGGCAGCCTGTTCCAGTGCTTTGTCACCCTCACAGTCAAGAAATGTTTCCTTAAGTTCCTGTGGAACTTTTGGTGCCTCAGCTTGTGGCCGTTTCCTCTAGTCCTATTGCTGGTCACCACTGAAAACAGAAAAATACAGAAAATACAAAATAGGACATTATCCAGAACAGTTCTCTGCAGAATTTCATCCTGTGGCAGTGAACCATTGATAACTATCACTGTGACTTCTGGGGAGGAAAAAAAAAAAACTAAAAAAACTACTCTTATACTAATCAAGATTGCACTTTTTTTGTGTGTGTGCTTCTGAGAATTGAAGAGGAAATGCAGAAAGCCTTAATCAGGCTATTTAATGTCTAAATTTTCCCCATCTGATGTCCAGGATATTAGATCACTTCATTCTGACTTGTTTGCAAATTCATGTTGGTGACTATTCATTTAGAAATGTTTTTCTAAAGAGCAAGACCACCATTTAGAATCTGATGTTTGCTGTATGTGGTAAATGCTGCATACATGTTTATAAATCTGTGTGTATGAGTGTGGGTGAATATATGTATGGATGGGTGTGTATAAATATATGTGTATGTGTGTGAATATACGTATATTTAAAAGGTGGGTTAGAAAGTTTTTTTCTTTTTCTATTTTTTCCTCCTTCTGGTTTAAAAGTCTAGTTGAGATATAAGAAATTGTTTTTCTGTTTAGAAAAATATGCTGGAAATGGATCAAAACCCATGGTGATTAGTTTTATTTTCTCAGTGCTAGGAACTCTAAATTGACTTTCACTTTTTCTTCCTGTAATTCACAGCTTTTGGAAATTAACTGGACTGGACTGACAAATCTTCTGGATGTTCCAGGGCTAAAGTAAGGATATGTAAAAGCTTTGTTGTTGTTGTTGTTGTTGGGGAGGGGGTTGTTGGGGGGTTGTTTTGTTGTTTTGGGTTTTTTTTTTTTTTTTTGAGAGCAGAAAAATATAAAGATCATCAGCTACGTATACAGCTAAATGTTTTTAGGTTAACATAATTTAGAATTATAGGAAAGTGAAGAATGAACAATGTAGTATTTTTACTATAAGAAAAAAAAAAAACCCTGTCTAGTAGATCCTGTTAAAAAATCCTAGTTTTCTCAGATTACCAGAATCTTGTGGATTTCCCATTTGCTTTTCTCATAGAACATCAGAAAGCCAAAGAACCTTATTTTTCATGCCAGTGGGTTCACAGCATCTTAGCTTTTGACTTTGTACAGATATAAATGTCTAGTTCCTTGTGTACAGATAGTAATAAGAAATACCTTAAGACATAATCAAGTTAATAAATTCCTAATTTTTTGAATTTTTTTTTCCAAAACTTTCTTCTTTTTTTTTTGTGACAATCAGATAAGATAGTGAAAATATTGACTATAGATACTAAAAGAATATGCTTGGTTCCAATTCAGATTTATTTGAAAGAGTAAATGATTTAAAAAGAAACAAATGAAAATAAAATAGGAGAGAGCCAAGTTACTTTGTACCATTGCAATCCTGATGAGATCAAAGCCAGAATTAGAACTTGAAATTTATGAATGTAATCGTAACCCCAGGGCTTTTTAGTGTTAAGAAAATAGTTAATGCGCTAATAAATGGTTTTGACAAAAGCATCAGTTAGCTGATTCCAAAATTATTTCCTGTAGTTTGAAAGCAAGCATCTGGATTTAGGAATTAAGGGTTAGGAATCCATTGCTTAATGGTTTGACTAAAACAATTATTGCTTGCTTAGACATTTCAAGATATTCTATAAAATCCCAACTGAACAGGTTGCAGTTAGAACTTAAATAGGTTAATGGCTGCCAAAATTGCTTCTGATTCAAGGCTGGTTAAGGCTGCCTCTGAGGTAAGAGGTTTTCTTCATGAGTGAGGAATTGGTTTCCAAAATACAGCTTCTGAGTAAGAATTTGCTCTTTTGAGGTAACAGTAATAAAGTTGCATTTAATAGTTATGTTTATTAGGCTTCTGAGGTTCATATTCTTCTACATGTTTGCCTGACTGGAAAAACAACAACCTCAACTGTAAACAAAGTCTTGTTAAATGCCTCCAGTTTATGGTTTCCAGAGCAACCAAGCGTGGCCACGTATGCATATAGTGGCTGCAGGCTCGCCCTGGTATAGTTTCTATGGTAACTGTAGCTGAGGTGACTCAGTCTATTTTGCCAGTGAAACTCTTCAAAGCTGTCTTTTTTCCCAATTTTTAAAGACAGGTTGTGGTTTTTCATATAACAATTTGACAGAGTGCAGTTGCTATAAGCAGTGATGAGCACAAGAGTGCTGCTGACAGAGGTACCTCTAGTTCCACAGCTCCGCGCTCAACTGCTTACCGGTTGTCTTTGCAAATGAATTCTGCCAATTAAATCTCTTAATTTGCCGCTGGAAACTTCCCTGTTGTCTGATAACAGCTCTCATTGCTCTTTCTTTGTGATTCCACTAGGAAAAGGAGACAAAGGCAATTCATATGAGGAGTAGAATTAAAATCTGTGTGTGAAACGAGGCAGCGAGAAGCCTCTTGTGCTATCAGGAGAGGTCTTGGATGACTGGGAGATTAATTCTGTTATGGTTAATTAAGAGATAGGAAGAGTCCTCTCTGCAGTCTAAGGAACACTCTCTCTGCAGGATGAAGAGAAGACAGTGCAGGAAAAGATGTAATTGCTATGCGTTCACTAACAAGGATTGCTAAATGTAATTAGAGAACAGTGAGCTGAATAGGTAACTACCAATTATTTTCCACAAGAGAATTAAGGTTTTGGAGAAATTTATTAGAATCGATCATCTAAAGTATTTTACATTTCTCTAATATTCCTGAACTGAAAAAAAAATTCTTAGTTTTAATAACAGAATGATTATCTTAAGAATATTTAGGGTGTTGAGAAAAAGAGCTGATTATCAGTGATGCATCCAATTAAGACTTTGAATTGGTACTACTTTTTTCTACTGCTTGAGCAGACCTGGGGTTTGGTCCTTGTGTAGATGATTGTGAATCCTATAAACCCTGTTGCGCTGTGCTGTCTTTCCTTATGTAAGGAGATTGCTTACAGTGCTCCATTTGAATATGAACCAGTATCTCTGAACTTTTTTGCCAGGTTTAGGATAGATTTATTTATGCTTATAACTTCATAATGTATATGAATTTAATGAAATACTAAAGAAAGGCATGATCACTTCCTTACTAAGTAGCTGTGGCATAGTTGTCTCTCTTGTACTGCTCTCATTTGTTGTTCTCTGACCTGGGTCAGATGGTTTTATCTATTAATCGTCCTTTTTCAGGTATGTACTTTAGTGAACATAAAGACAAAGCTTTTCTCTCCTTGCCAGACAGGAAAGTTAACAACAGAACAAATATATGTGGTATCTAAAAGCCTAATATTTGCCGCAGATGTGTCATCAGACTTGTAATTTGAAATACTCTTCATGCAATGTGTGCTTGTTGCTCTTGTAGTTACCGTGGCAGCTATTTTCCCTTTTAATGTTAAAAGTGCTTGAGATGTTTAACTTTTTAATCTCAGTCTCACAGACAGTAGGAGCTAATTTGTAGGCCCGCTTCACACAATACACTTCTACATTGAAACTTGAATCAGGAATACAGATCTGCACAGATCTGAGTGAGCATTGATTTTGAAGCAAATAAATGAAGCAGCATTGCTACAGCCAAATCATCGGACAGGGAGGGCCCACCTGTGTTTCCTAGATATATGAATTGGCCAAACAAGGTATTACTTCTTCCAGCAAAATCTAGTATTATGTTTTGAGGAGAGTAACTTGTTTTCTTCTGTTCTGGATTTACCATTCTTTTCTTGGAGCAATAAATATAGCAACTCTAGTTTGGTTAATTTAGCAATGAGAATTTCAAAAGGGTAAATATTTGAGGGTGTTTAATAATACTCAACCTATTACAGTTCACTCTGTAATCACAGGTTCTTGTTGCTCTCTTACCACTAAGCATTTATTTTGCTGTGTGGTACTTGAACTCTAACAGCTCATATTATGGGCTAAAATTTCTCAAGAAACTGTTTTTACTCCTTATGTGGGAAATTCACCAACTATGTCTCAGCTTCTTTATTTAGCTGGTGACCTAACATCCAAAGTAGATAGAAATTTTCTCATTGGAGTTTAAAACTTCAGTGATACACAAGTTTCACTAGAGTATTTTAGTGAGGGAGATTTCATGCTAACCTAAAGAGACCATTTTTTTTTTTTTTTTTGCATAGATGCCTGTGTATGAGTTAAGGGAAAAGCACAACTTGACGAGGGATGACACTGGCTCTTCACAGACCTTCCTACTGGATGTGTTTGTGGTGAAGCAGGGTGGCCAAGGGAATGTAAACTGTGCAGGTTACACATCTGCAGCCTTAAGGTGAATGTGAAATGAGCCAGGTTGTATTTCGTGGGTTAGTTCAGTTACACATCCTCTACCATGCGGCGTTTATGGTTTGTCAGTAGGTGTCCTTTCCAAATAAAACTTAAGTATGTGTTAGGTTACAGGGCAACTCCTGTGCTCATGTGTGGTGGCCACATTGTCAGAACCGCTCCCAAGCCTTAGCCCAGACCTAGGCAAACAGCGCCCAGCAGTTCCACACAGCAACGTTCCCAGTCATCACACATTGATGCTGTCTGTGCTTTCATTTTAGAAAGACTTTAGAAAGAGTCTTAAAACAAAGCTGGTATTTAATCAAAGAAATGATACCTGCACTTCATCCCTGGAGCTTTTGCACCTGTAAATACCTCAAGTATTTTTGTCTCTGTGTCCCTGACCCTTGGTGCCTACTGCAGAGCTCTGCCCGGGTGCTCGCGACCTCTGCTCATCCACCCACGTGTGGGCAGTACAGTCGAGCCCAGTACAGCGGAGCTGTGGTGCTTGACCCTGGGCACGTTTGTTGTCAGCCCAGCCCCTCCCGACTGAGCCCTGAGCTTGGGAGATGTTTCTGTGTGGGTGCAGGGGCCGGTCAAGGTTGTGTTTTTAGTGGTTTGTTGCCAGAGCGGTTGCGTGGCCGCTCCCTTTGTGCCAGAGCCAAACCTGCCCGGCCTGCGCGGCTCCACGTCACGGAGCGCGGCCGCTGCGGCCATCCTCCACCACAGCCCTGAGAGCTCGAGGGGATGCCTGCCCGCCTCCTGCCACCGTTGTGCCTCGCTGCCCGCCTCCCACCACAGCGGTGCCTCGCTGCCTGCCTCCCGTCACAGCGGTGCCTCGCTGCCTGCCTCCCGCCACAGCGGTGCCTCGCTACCCAGCTCCTGCCACCATTGTGCCCTGCTGCCCGCCTCCCGCCGCCCTGGTGCCTCGCTGCCCGCCTCCCGCCACAGCGGTGCCTCGCTGCCCGCCTCCCGCCACAGCGGTGCCTCGCTGCCCGCCTCCCGCCACAGCGGTGCCCCACTGCCCGCCTCCCGCCACCGTTGTGCCTCGCTGCCCGCCTCCCACCACAGCGGTGCCTCGCTGCCCGCCTCCCACCACAGCGGTGCCTCGCTGCCCGCCTCCCACCACAGCGGTGCCCCACTGCCCGCCTCCCGTCGCAGCGGTGCCTCGCTGCCTGCCTCCTGCTACCCTGGTGCCTCGCTCCCGGGCAGTTAGAGCCTTGCTGAAATGCAAAAGCAGATACCTCTGAACATCTCTTCCGTTAATAGGCAATGGGGGCAAGCAGCCTCGTGCAACAGCCTCTGAATCTGGGCAATTTGGAAGGGAGGACTAACGTGAAGATGAATTCTGGTAGCGGGAAAATTACAACTTCATACGAGTGTGTTCTGTTTCTGCTATTTTGTATCAACTGCTTCCACCTGGTGGCCCTTTTGGCAAGAATCCTTTCTTGGTTAGGGGGAAAAAAATGCTTTTTAAAGGCTTTTCTAGTTGAAAACAAGGGCTGTAGAGCGGCAGAAGGATAAAGAAGTTCCTGCGGCCCCAACATACACTAGTATATGACATAAAACGCTGCCTTAAAATTCATTTTAAATGTAACTTTTTTTTTCCCCCAATAGTGGTTTGTCAGATACAATAATATTGGACATAATATCCAACTACCTGGTCCTTCCAAATAGAATTACAGTCCCCCTTGTCAGTGAAGTGCAGATCGCGCAGTTGCGGTTTCCTGTACCAAAGGTAAGGATACTTCTGTTAATAATGTAATTTGGAAAGATTTTGTTAGTATTGATTCTTAAAGAAAGACGTATATATGTGAAGATCTAAATATGGATATTGCAGTAGTACACAGTACCATGAATCCAGTCAATTATACATAAGCAGTTACATTTATGAATGTTAAGAATAATATTTATGGAGTTAATGTTTGGTAACAACAAAATTAAGAGGGAGCAGGTATTTTTCTGCCTTAATAAGATCTTTCATATATAATTGGTTACGTATAGCTCAAATGTAGAAACCAAAATGTGGAAACCAAAAATTATGTAGTGTGTGTTCTGAAACTTTTGTTAATGTTCCTCACTAAGCAATTGTTATTGCTCATTACTATTGCTTTTCAGTACCATGAAGTTTCTTGATATAAGCAGCATATTTCTGATTGCTGATGACAGTTTTTCTTTTCAGGAATCTCTTTAGGTACCAAGTCTGCTGTGTATGTGGATCATCGTTGATACTCTCCCATTTACCATGTTCAGTCATGCTTTCTGCAAGTAGTAGGAATCCAGTTTAGAATTATTCTAGCTATAAAATATTTGGAATACAAAGTTGTATACAAATTAGGAGATAAGTTTCATATTAAGGAAATAGCGATTGAAGTTTTTCAAAGTATATCACACAAAGTGACATAACGGTTTATTATTGAGGCCTGTTGATAAATGGATTTTTTCCTCCTTTTTTAGGGTGTTCTAAGGATACACTTCATTGAAGCTCAAGACCTGGAAGGGAAAGATACTTACTTAAAAGGAATAGTCAAAGGAAAGTCAGACCCTTATGGAATCATCCGTGTAGGCAACCAGATTTTCCAGAGCAAGGTCATCAAAGAAAATCTCAATCCAAAGTGGAATGAAGTTTATGAGGTATAATCAGTTAGAAAAACATTGTGCATTCTGTAAAGTTGACTTCTAAAAACCGTTCTATGAGGTTAAGTGTCCTGGATGTTTCCTTGAGAAACTTCTTCATATCTTCCTATAAAAGCAAAAAAATGTTAAAAAAAAAAAAAAAAAAAAAAAACAAAAAAAAAAAACTCCCTATTGATTTGTACATTTCTTTTTTTTCTAGATTGTGTGTCGGTAAGTCCAAAAATCAGTCTAGTTCCTTAATATCAACAACTCATATCTCAAAAACTCTTAACACTCCCCAATTCATAATAAATTACATATTTTTAAAGCATTTGCTTATTGATGTGCTAATAAATTCAGATCAACACTGCAGTTAATTATTTCATTGTTACTTTGACAGTTGACAAAACTAGTTAGTTTTGTTATTGATGTTGTCATCTCTATTATTGTAATTCTAGGCCTTAGTATATGAACATCCAGGACAGGAGCTGGAGATTGAACTTTTTGATGAAGATCCAGATAAAGATGACTTCCTGGGAAGGTAAGTGTTTTGGAAAATATATTTATAGGCATTGGTGAACAGAGTAAGTATTGTGATATAATCTTTTTGTTTTTATTGCATTTTTGCTATAGTTTTCAATTTATAAATTGCATATCTTTTCAAAGTTCTGGTAGTAAGTAGCTTTCTAATTCTTTGCACTCCCCATGTATTTAAATAGATATATTAAAAATTTGTCTAGGCTATATGTTTGTATGTTTATATACTTACACAAAAAGATAAGGTAAGTGTTGTGGATATCCAGAAAGGAAAATGCACTTTTTTAAAAGAAATTAACTCTTATTTGTTTTAATGTTCTTAACATAGCATGAAGTTGTGATTACTGGCTCAGACAAGGTTGATAAAGTTTTATAGCTGTCTATCTTCCCTAGGAGCTGATCTTATCGGTTTGATATAAAAAATAAATTTGCTGTAATGCTTTTGCAAACACTGCTCACTATTAGCTTCTATAGACATACCTCTAGTGTTTACCCATAAACATACCTGGGTTTTAGTCAGCTTCTTTCTCCAGTAATTTGTCACCTTTATTTCTTGCAGAGTTTTGGAGCTTGCCTTTGTTGCTTTCCCTACAGAGTAGAACTCCCTTATCTTTCCAGCTCCTTCTCTCTTAACAGGAGCAACAGTACCTACTTCTCCTCTCATTTATTTAAAGAAGTAGGTAGTACCAAGGCTTCTTTTCTTTGCACTTCCCTAATCTTAACACTAAAGGGGGGGAAAAGCAGCAGTTGGACCATAATGAGTACTTCAGTCCTTGTAAAAGAACAGGCCAAGGCAAATAGTTCTGTGCTGACATGTACTTGTCTGTACTGTTTAATTTTTAGCACACTCCTTGGTAGAGCTTGTGCAAACTCACACTCTCCTGGGCAATGCCAAAGCATGAAATGGATCGTGTCCAGGGGCTGGGTAGTTTGGATGTGGCCACTGTTTTGAGAGCTTAGTTAAATGTCTTTGAGCCATGATGTGCCACTTGCACTTCAAGCTAGAAAATGGGCTCTAGTACAGGCATATTTCCTATCATTCCATATTCCTCCTGTTTTAGCACCTTTCTTCCCTACTTTTAGACAGTAATAAAGGAAGAAAAACTTCACTGTGCTTCTTTGCTCCCAGTAAAAGCCTCGATACTCAGCAGGCACAGGGTGGGTGGGTCAGTTCTGTGTCATTTTTATTTTTTTCTGCTCCCTTAAAATGCTCTGTTTTGTTTGTTTGTTTTTCCTAGTTTGATGATAGATTTAATCGAAGTTGAGAAAGAGCGTCTTTTAGATGAGGTAAGTTTTTGGTAAGTTTTGATTTAAGAAACACATATACTGCATATTTATGTATTCTTTTGTATGTTTGTGATTTTTATTTTTCTCTTTCCTATATCCCTTGTGTGTTTGAACAGCCCTAATGTCGTAAAAATAAACTCTGTGATCATCTGTGAAGTGGTTTGGGAGATACCTGAATTGATGAAAGAACAATGCTATTCTTCTGGCTTGGCTCAAATTAACTAATATTAGATTTATTAGATGACTAACTAGCTTACTGGAAAATGGGAGTTTTATTGTATATGCAAGTGAGATTTTTATAATAATGTTATACAGGGCTTGTATTTCAAGAACAGTCTTATAGGACTTAAAGATTTGATATCTTGGAATGTTTTATTGTATAGTGTGAAGACCTACATGACCGTTATTGTATTATGCAGCTGAGTAGCTTGTCTTTGTCTTATTACTTAGTGCCACTTTTAAACAATTTTTAAAAATCAGATCTTTTCAGTTTATGCAGATTTCAGCTCTACTGGATTGCTCCTGTGGCTTAATGTTTCTTAAATGTCCTGAAGAGCCAACTGCAGTCATATGCATTTGTTTGGTGACAGGTTATTTCACATTACTTTGCTTAACTTTTAGTGGTTTACTTTGGATGAAGTGTCCAAAGGAAAATTGCATTTAAAACTGGAATGGCTCACATTGATGCCAACTGCTGAAAATCTAGACAAGGTATTAGTGGAACACATTATATATTATCCTAATCTTTACTCTTTTCTTTTCTGTTAAAAAAATGCAAGTAATTTAACTCTCTAGCTGTGATATATTTGGATAAGCCTGTAATTTTATTCTGGTGTAACTGTCTTTGTAATGCATTAGATTGATCAAATCTGACAGGGTGTTTTTGTGGCATATGTGTGTGTTTTTTTTTTTTTTTTTTATTTAAAGGCTGCTTATTCGTTTATTCTTGTACCGTTGTAGTTTCATAAGATCCACAGATATTTCATTATATTGAGAGATAAAATTGGCAATGAAATGTAATCTGTCTAGTTTTTTAAAAAATAGGGATTGGGGTGGAGTTTGTTGCAATATCTTTATCTGTATTTATATAAAATCTTCAAAGGCTGCCTTTTTTAATGTTTTTGTGAATGTTTCTGGGTTTGGGGAGTTATGCTTAAAGTATTTTGTCAGGAGTGGGACAAAAATTATGCCCTGCTGTTTGATTTTCAGAAGAAGACTCACAATATATTTTTTGCTTTAGGTGCTGACAAGCATTAGAGCTGACAAAGACCAAGCCAACGATGGGCTTTCTTCTGCCTTGCTAATTCTGTATTTGGACTCGGCAAGAAACCTGCCCGTAAGTTTTATTCTGCCAGATGCCCGTGGTCCCGGGTACCCCTGGCTTCCTTCAGCATGTCTTGCTTGGTAGTGTGCCACACTGCTTCACTAACACACCTCACGCCATGTTTTCTCTACCTGTTCTTGTTTCAAAACGTGTAATGTAAGGTCCACGTTTCTAGTAGTATGGTATTATGGATAATAAACTGTTAACTTTTTAATCAGTGTGAAGTTTTTTTAAAGAATGCTCCTTTCCTGGACTTGAAAGGCTGCATGTTTTTATTATTCAGTGTTTTCCATAGATAGTATGGGATCAGCATGGACAATTAAAAGGAACTAACTGTGAGAAAGGAAGGCTACTTACTTGAGCCTGGGTAAATTTGCTTGCTTTGGTTTAGGATGTCTGTGATAGATGTGGAAGTGCTGAAATTCTCATTGTGAAATTAACATTGTCCAGTTGGTGTTACAGTTGCAGAATACCTGTATGTGACTTCTGTCACGTTGTCATTTGAAGTAACATTTATTTGCATGTGCGAAATGTACACATGGATAAAACATCCTGTTTTCTGTCATTCTGTGGACTATTTGAGAGTCTGAAATAGGTTGTAGAAGATCAGCAAAGAATTTGAAGTTTAACCCTAATTAATACTAGTTAGTAAATTACTCCTCACAGTTGCAAGTAATAGCAATAATAAAGTAAACCACACCATAGACACAGGTGTGAAACACAATACTGAAATTTAGTCTTTTTTTTTTTTTCAATATTATTATTTGATGAACAGTTCTGGAAGTAAACAGGAAAATTTTCAACGTTCAGGAATTTTGTTTGGTGCATTTTGCAAATTTCCCCACTGAAATTCCAAATAAAATGCAGCATCAAACAGAAGAGAGTAACAAGTAAAACCATAGCAGCCTAAACAGTTCTCAGCACTGACTAGTGATTTCATACAGTAAACATAGGGTGTTTGGGGCTACGCAGAGCCACTTTTGGCAATGGTAGTAATAAGGTGTTTTAGAAGCTAAAGAGATGTAGATCACTTGGATTTGAATCCTGCATTATCTTTTTAGCCCCACTGTATTGGGGAAGAGGTGTCAGGGGGGGAAACCTGGAACTTAGCAGGAATAATATAGCTCACAGGTGATGCTGTAATTCTGTTAATTGGTGTGCTTAACATTAAATTGAGAATATTTCAACACAGAAAAAAAACATTGAACATGCAGAATTAAATTTCACCCACTTTTGAATTTTATTTTTTCAGTTGCTGGATTTTATTCAAACTGTTTTGAGTTTAATATTCCTGTTAAAATACAGTAAAGCCAAGTTGCTTAAAATCAGTGGTTCTGTCATCCAGTTTGTTTATTTTTCTTGCAACCTTTTTCTTTTTTTTTCTATGCTAGTCTGGTTTCCCCAGCAAGTAGTCAGAATTTTTGTCATTTTTTTCCTCTTCTTTTAAGCAGATATTCAATAACATTATCTATTTCTCTCAGAAAGATTAGATTTAAAGTCTTCAGTTCTACCTACTCTTTGGAAGAGTGTTTTCATTTCAATATCTTAGTGTCTAAATAGTTAGTACTTTTAATTGGTTGATCTCTGAACTCTTAGGGCAGCAGAGGCACCAAAACAAGTTCCTTGCACCAGGTGACCTGGGCAATGAACCTCGGATTAGGTTCCAACTGTGCAGGGTTGCCTGGGTGGCACTGAGATGAGAGTGGCTTAGCTGGGCACCTGTGTACCCCCTCTCTTTCTCTGTCATTCTCAGACATTTGCTACAAATAACTCAGTGTTTAACTTCAAGTCACTTTCTGTCCAGAAATGCATGTTAAGGAATATAAAAGGTAGCACCGAGCACTCAAAAAATCATTTTACAAGTGTACATGGATAAAATATAATAGTGTTAAATACAAATCATCTAAAAAGGGTATGGATTATCCATATAGATAATGGATATGGATTTTATCATAGAGCTGCTGGAAAAACTGCAGCAAATTACAATGAATGCAGCTTCTGTATGACCATTTGATTCTGATGTAGAGAAATATTGACAAGATAAAATGTGAAGGTGCAGGGACTCCTCCTGCTGTAAGTTGTGCACTTAAACAGTAAAATTAATGGATACCACTGATGGCTTTATTTGTGGGAAGCAAAAAGATACGAAGTTACTGTTAAAGTTATCATGCAACAGTCAGTGTAACTTTAAATATTGTCCACAGCTTAATGTTAATATTGAATTTTTTTTTAGACAAATAACTGCTTTTTTCCTCAAAATTAAATTCTTAAGTTAGCATTGATCACAGGTGCATTCTACATCTTGGAGTCAATCACATTTTTCTTTCGTTATAGAGAGTAGTTCCCCCCGCAGGCTCTTCTCTTTCAAAGGTGCATCGTTGTTGTTTGTGAAACAATTGGGGTGATTTATTTGAAAGATGTTTCAACAAAATAGAAACTCTAAAGGAGAAGACTTGTGCCTCTAAACTTACCCAGCTGAATCTGCCATATAAATACAAGCTACTAAGGGTAAACCAGGAGAATGTTTCTGCTTGCTAAGAGATAGCCATGTACCTACAGGGCACTAATCTGTTTGAATAATTGTGGAAAATATAAAACAAAGAAAAAATCCACCTCGCTATGCTATAAAAAACCTTTTAGTAGATAAAACTATATTGAGAAATATTTACTTATTTTATTATCTGCTGTTTTCTCTGGAATCCTTTGACTGTTATCCTTAATTTTCCTGTGTAGTAAAGCTGCTTATGCATTCATTCTGCCACAATCCCATCACTCTGCTTTCTCCTTCCATTTCCATCTTCCTAAGAGTATCTACGAGGGAAACTTTGGGTGTGGATACTTAAAAGAGAGGAGAGCATCGGGACTAGTCTTTTGTGAAAACACTACCTCACTCTATAGAGCACTATTTGTGAGTTCTCTGGTATTATTTGTATTGTATCTTTTCTCTGCCAGAGTGTGAATTAGTGCTACTAAAGTCACACGCTCTAGTGGAATGAGAGCATGCAATTTGTTTTCCTGCATGGTTTCAACCAGTGTGCCTTGTTTTTTGTGCTATTTTGATTGCATTTTGAAGACTGTTTAAATTTCATTGATCACTGATCAGCATATCATTGGGTAAGTAATTAACTCTTGATGATTAAAAAACCCAAGATAAGTTTGTTGTAGAAGCTCTTACACTTAAGCTCCATTGCTGGTTCACAGATAAGTAAAATACATACTGTGCCAGCATACTGTGTGCTGCCGAATTGCTTGCCTTGAGTGCAAAGAAATGAAACTGTAAGAAATATTGCAACTGACACCCCTTTTTAAAGTATTTTTAAAAGGAGAGTGTTTGTAAGAACTTGCATCCTCTCCACACTAATTGAAGTACTGCTTAAAAAATGTGTGGTTCTTTGTGCTCCCCAAACTATAAATTCCCTTGTAAATTCTATTTCACTCGTTATGTTTCCTATTTTGCAAATTCCCAAGCTCCTTTTCTTTTTCTTCCCCAACGTAGCCTGTAGTCAGTGACATCCTGGTGTAGGGGGAGCGAACAGTTAGCCTCTTTTGCTTTTAAATATAAGATTATAAGAAGTTAACTTGTCTGCAATCATTTTGCACTTAAATCTTGAAACTCTTATATTTGTGTAACTTCAGAAAGGATGAGAGTGAGTTGAGAATCGGAACCCTTTTGCCAGAGGGAGATGGGGACACCCTTGCAGCTTGTGCAGAGGATTTGCTTGCTGGCTGGTTGAGTTTGATTCGTACCATACACTTATTTAAAAAAAAAAAAATTAAAAAAACACTTTTTCCTTTCAGTTAGTTTGTGGAAGTTCATTTTGAAGTATCAAACACATACATCCAGTGGCAAATCCTGTTTCAATTTAATGAATGTGTAGGCACTCCGTAAGCATAGTCACCTAAAGTTAGAACACCTATAAACGATGTGTTTTTTCTCTCCAAAGATTTAAGCTCAGTTTTGTGTGGTTCGGTTATTTTCTTGGTGTTAAAACTGGTAGGCAACTGCTGTTCCCTTTAATAAATGGAGAAAGGAAAAAAAAACTCTTGGAAAAACCTCTTGTAAATAATATTATAGATTTTTTGTTCAGACTGTAGTACTGATGTTGCTGTTACCTTCAGATCACTGAAATCAAGACTTACTGTCTCCATAAAACAACACCCATTTATACATTGGACAAGCTTTTCCAAATGATGAGTGAGAGTGGAAAACGAGCAGTTGGAGATGACCATGACAGGGGGCCCTTCAGCCCTGCTGTTACCTGGCAGGTTGCTGCATGAGTGCCAGTGTTGGATGGCACTGGGGATGGGGTTCAGGGCAGGAGGCCAAGGGCAGCCCAGCAGTTGCCGAACTTCATGTTCTTCTCAGGACATCCATAAAAACCTGAGCAAAAGTCATACCCCTTAATGTGTGATACCCGGCTGAGGTGTCTGGGTTGCTTATGGATAGGGAGAAGGGAAGGAGGGAGAAGACTTTAACAAGTGAATCCCTATATATCTAATGGCAGAGGAAAAACTAGTGTCTTAAGACTGTATGAAAAATGTAGATTTGTGTCTTCCAAAAGTGTGTACAACTGGTTTTATGATACGTTGTCATTAACTCATAATGATTTTTTAAGTGCATATAATATATGAATAACACATATTTTAAATTAGCTCTATCAGAACAGTTTCTGTCTTCTGGTTATCACATGACGTTGTTCTCAGAGACTTGTAAACTTTTAGAACTCCAGAAGAATCCCAAGCACGAGTTAGTGAGTCAACATAAATAGTAATGAGTAATAGTTCAAATCACATGAAGCATCTGACTTTTAAGGTCAAAATAGTTTACTAGTTGTCGTATAGTTTATGGGTTTGTTCTCAGGATTTACTGCCAATGGCATTGGCCACTAGAGAGCACTAACCTGAAGTTTGATGATCTTTTTCTTTTTTCCTTTTGGGTTTTTTTTTTTGTCCTAGTGTGACAGTTACCAGCATAGTCCTTGGATATCTCTCACCTTTTAGAAGCTCATAACTATAGCAAGACAATTTTGTTACCCAGGGCAGACCTTTTACCTGGCTTTTTATAATGAATTCTCTCCCTTTTCTTCTGCTAATCTCCTGCTCAGCCTCCATCCTTGTGGACCAGCAGCTCCTGCCGTTCAGTCCCGAAGTCTGGCAAGGCTGAAACGTATTTGCCCTGGCTGATATCCCTGTCCTTGCTTTGATTCCGGAGGAATCAACACTCATTCAATACCCAGGAATCATTGTTTGGCTGCCTTTGTAATTTCTCAAATAAGTTGGTTCTTGACATCTAAAATACATTGATGCAATGAATAATTTAGGTGAAAAAAACGTACTGAGTGTGGAGGTGAAAACATGAAGGAAAGATGGTCATCAAGTTCCAAATGGTTTGATAAATTTGAGATGAGATCTGAAACTGAAACACTTCTAGCAAGGAAGATTATAGCAGCCACACAGGAATAACTCCTCCCATAAACAGGGAGGGTAATAATTGCCTGAGAGATTTGCCTTACATGAATAGACCTGCAGTTTCTCTGTGTCAGGCTGCTGCAAAAGGGCAAAAACAGTTTTGAATATAGAAATAAAGAAGAACCTAGGCTGTAAGATACGTGGACTAATTAATTCTTCTGTTCTACTTAACCATTAGTGAGGCCCTGGTTTTGGCAGTGGCAATTCAAGAACGATGGAGACCAGTCGAAATGAATCTGGATGACAAGCACCAATGATAATGGGACAGCTTGAAAACGTGACTAATAGGGAAAGAATAAAGAAGGGTGGCATAGCCTAAGAAAGTAAAGATACAGGTGAAAATGGTGCAAGGTTGCTGCAAAAATAAGGAGAATTCTTCATTTATTTTGAAGAAAAAAAGAAACAGTGCAAAAATACTCTGAAGAATATCTTTAAATTAAAATTAAATCTTTTGAAACAGACGTTTCAAAGCCAAATGGCAGGAATCTTCACATGCATAAAGGCCAGCATTAGGTTGCAACAGTTGCCTCAAAAAAAAAAAAAAAAAAAAAAAAAAAAAGTATTAAGTATTTCTGTAGAAAGACTAAATCTGTCTATATAATATATAATTTATTTACATTACGTGTTTGAATTTCAGGAACACATTTCTTCTGGCATAACATAAGTAATACTGTTTTCTGATATTGTCCAGGTCGTTATGCAGATTTTTGTGTTCCTACGTACTACAGCTCATAAAGCAGAATTCTCCCTTGAAGCAGAAAGCTGTGCCAAGCAAAAAAAGGGAAAAAAACACCCTATCTACTATTTAGAAGTCTGTTTCCCTTATTTAAAAAAACATTTCTTGAAATTTCATCTTTTATAAGTTAAATATTGTCACACATTTTCAGTTCTCTAGTATGACCTCAGGAGCAATCAATTATTAATGAAGTAAAATGGAAAACTTTGCTTAATTAATACGAAATAGTCAGAACTTTTGTACTGTCAGATCAGCCCAAATTCCAATTAAATTGTTAATACGTTTATTTAGAGGCCACAGGAAAAAAGCAAAGTCAGATTTTGTTTATTTTGGTGGTTCTTTCATTGTTTTTTTTTTTGAAGTTCTTTGTTCTTTGTATTTTTTTTTATTTTTACCTTTTTTTTGCTTTGTCCTATGTTGTCATGTCATAATTAACCTAGTGAAATTACTTCATTGCATGACTTATTAACCCTTCATATGTTCATTCTCTCCTGATTTAAAAGCATAATCCTTTAGAATTTAACCCTGATGGCTTGAAGAAGGCTGCTGTTCAGAAAGCCCTAAAGGTAAAACTAATATAGTTGTCCTTTTAAGGTCACAAACATAATTGGAAATGCAGAAATACCTGCAACACTTCTCTTGCAATAGCACCTAGAATTTCTGTTGTCAGATGTTATTTAGTGCAATCTAGCTTTAATTTAACTTTTGGTATCAAGAAGCAGTCAAGAGGTTGGTAGAATACTTGGGTTTGTGTTAATTTGAACTTTCAATCAGTTGAGTGGAGTACAGGCTGCTTCAGAAGGCAAAAAAAAAGTCTCCAAAAAGCCTTCAGAACCAGTCTGAAATAAGTTGACATGAAAGCTAAGACATCTTTTACAAACAGGATGATACTTTACTGCCCAACTCTGACCATCTGCTTAAATAACTTAGTCATATGTGTTTTGTTTCTTTTTTTTTTTTTTTTTTGTTATATATTTTACACTCTTTATTTGAATGCTGGGTAAATTTACGTCAGCCTTCTGATAAGGAAGAGAGCCAGCTGAGACACAAACTTGGAGAGCGTTAACCAAGTTCTCAGCTGGAGAAATCTGGGCAATAGACAAGTGCTAATAGACTGAAATATCCTGTCAACAGCAAACCAGCCAGTGGCAGGAGTTAGAAGTGCCTCGTGTTTGTACATATGGTGACTTTGGTAGCATGAATTAAAATGACTTTTACTTGCATACCATCATATAAACAAGACGGCTTTCTGTGAACATCTCCAGTTTACCTTATTTTATGAAGAAAAGGAGAGTTCAGGTACATTTATGGAGGAAAAATAAATTTCCCTTTTTTAGCATCATTGGCGGGGGGGAATCTGACTTTCTTTGTGTTTCTTAAACAGTTGTATTCCTGTGACTTTGGTTAGAGCCAAATATTATTATTATTAGAAATCATGAAAGAAAGACGCAGCATTCATCCAAGAAAGGAGTGCTTCCTTACCATTTTGTTTTCTAAAGGGAAGTATGGTTTAAAACATGGAGTGTCACATACAAATTAAATAATATTAGTGGAAGTATAACATGCAGAATGTAACTTCAGATCTAAAAATACTGAAAATAAGCTCTCTTCTAATGAAAAAAAAGCTTTAATTTGAATAACTTCATTGCAGTTGTGACCTTACATGCATTGAGTAGTTTTCAACTAACTCTGCTTACAATGTCTGATCCTTATAATTTCCTATTGGGTAGAATTCAAGGTAAATTATTAACCATGTATACTGTATTTCCTAGGCCTTATCAGTTGCATTAACACCTGCTTGAGATGTTTAACTTTCATGTCTAACCTTTCTTTCTTAAGTTTTTGTTAGATTTAAAATGTGTGAAAAATATCTAGTTGGGAATGTTCTTTTGTGCATATAACTTGATTCTAAATTGATGTTTATTTTCACAGTTTGATGTAATGCTATACAGCTGGTGAGCAAGGCTCAGATATGGCACATGGTTGATTCTCTAATAAAGAGTATTTGGTAAACTGTAGAAATATACATCAGGTACATTATAGTGCATCTGCTTCCTCCCCAAGCTGAAAAGGGGGGAATGTCCATGTGTTGATATTACACCAAGTTTAACAGTAATACTGCTTTATACAGTAAGCTTCCTGAGTTTGTGCTTTCTCCATATCTGCCATCTGCATGCACTATTCATTTTGCAGTTTTAATTATATTCCATTGGCTTTGGGGATTGCAATGCAATTTATGCAGTTTGTAGAAGAAAAGAGAATGGAGTCTAAAACTCCTGCTTGTTTGCAGCATTTTGCTTTAACTAACTTAAGGTGGTTGGATGTATTCATTAACCGGCAGAGAAATTTCTGCCATTAAAGCTCTAGAGTAAAATACTAAGAATAATAAATATGCATAGAGAATGCATATGATTTTTATTATTAGGTTGAAAATTTTAAGTTTCAGGGGAAAAGACAGGTTTTATATGTAGGGGTCGAATTTAACCGGAGGTAAATGCAGCAGTTTATTCTGAAGACAAAGTTTTTTGCTTTTTCTTTATCAGTCAGGAAAGAAAATAAACAGCAATCCCAATCCTCTTGTTTTGCTGTCAGTTGGACACAAGGCGCAGGAAAGCAAGGTAAGCACCTGATCCCGGTCCTTGTCCCTGTCTGCAGGTGTTTGGAGGTGCTCTGTGCTTAGCACTAGCTGCCAAGCCATGGAGAGCATCCACTGCAGTAGAAGTTAGACCTGTGACAGAAATTGCCAACAGGAAGCCTAGGATTGAATGGGCACTTAGTTTAAATTTAGAGAGTCTAGATTTTAATGGACTGATTAACAGCTTGGAGAGCAAGTTGAGATCTGCTTTTTCAAATATGTGGTTTTTATTTTGCCGTTTGTCTTCCCAGTGTCCCTTAGGCTCTTAAACTCTGTGATCCCATGGTCACTGTAGCTAAGGCTGCCGTTGATAGCAGTGTCTGCAATCAGTCTTGCTGAGTGCAGGCAGGAGGTGCACAAGGGCCCTGCTCCTGTCAGCACACTCGTGATTGGGTCAGGAAGTTGCCTTCAACTCCTGTGTTGCTCGTGCAGCTCTTGAGACTGGTTGAAGTCCTCCAGGAGAACGAGGGCCTGAAAACCTGAGGCAGCTTTGAGTTGACAGAAGGCCCTATCTGTCTCTCTTTCATAGTTGGGTGCCCTGTAGTAGACACCTGACACAAGGTCTCCCTTGCTGGCAGAGCCTCTGATTTTGACCCAAGGCTCAGCAGCTCTGTCCACTTGCTGCCAGCTAACGTCCGTGTGCTCAGGCTGCGCTCCAAAACCGAGGAGCAGCATGGCAGGCTGTGACACCTGGGGAGGGAGATGTTTAGTATGGATGGCTTTGTTTCTAAAGTAGTGAGCCAAAGATAAAAGCCATTTTTAACAGGATATGAAGACAGAGTTACAAAAACTACAATGAATTCTGTATGGAGCATACCTGATAGAGAATAGGGACATAAACGTCCTTTGGTCCTGGATACTTTTTATTTGTTTTTGATAATGTACATGATTATTTTGAAGCAGTTGCTGCTAGTACTGAGATTTGTGGTGAGAGTAGTGAAATCCTCCACGTGTCTACTCGGAGATTAGGAGGGAAAACACTGTTTTGTGGGAGGTACCTTGAGTTAGTTCAGCCCTGACAGGGAAGTATGACAGGAAAGATGATTCACTGCCCAGAAGACCTTGCAGACCTTGCATTCACTGATACAAAATGAGAGTTCTTCAGTAGGAGTTTTACTTTACATAAATTTACTTCTTTACCAAACTGGAATACTTTCTATTACATGCAGTCAGTATAAGTTTACATGTGTTACTATATATACTTTGGGTAGATCCCACTTGGCTGTTGTTTACATCTGTCAGGTATCAGATGTAAAATTTTCCAAGCCAAAATGTAAAATCTAACACCAGTTTCATTAGACAAAAATTGTTTTATAACTTATATGCTCTCTCTTTTTTCCCTGCTCTCTAAAATTAGATTCGATACAAGACCAATGAACCAGTGTGGGAAGAAAACTTCACTTTCTTTGTACACAATCCCAAAAGACAAGATCTTGAAGTTGAGGTATGTTGCCTGATTCTTCTCAAATAACTTTGCTTAGGGTTTCAATAGTAATATTCATATGTTACAGGCTATTATAAAATCAGATTGTAGATAGACTGTAAACATTATTAAAAGTTGTACTAGACTTTTTAAAATATCTGACTAATTAATGTTTATTTGCATTTACCCTTGCTGCTATTAAATGCAGTTATGTGTAGGTAAATTTGTTTGCTGTCATCTCAGAGACCTTTGCTTTGTTCAAATATTTAATCCTGTTGATACATTATTTAGGCCACGCAAATAGACTGAAGTAAATGGGAACTGTTCTACCTATTGCTCCCCTAACAGCTGTGAGAATTCATTTTCACACATTTATAAGTTGCATATTATTTATTTGACCAAGAGTCAGCTGGATATAGAAGTTCTCTCCCTTGCTATTGAAGGAAGAGATGAGGAGAAATGGGGGTTAAGAACAAACTATAGGGGTTGTTTTCTGTTTTAAGCAAAACTATTTTTGTTTTCTTTTTCTGAATTCGTATAAAACAGACTGTATGATGTTACTTAGCTCCTGTGTTCCTGCAGGTCAGGGATGAACAGCACCAGTGCTCTCTGGGGAACTTCAAGCTGCCTCTCAGCCAGTTGCTGGAGAGCGAGGATCTAACTATGCATCAGCGGTTCCACCTGAGCAACTCCGGTCCCAACAGCACCATATACATGAAGATTGCTCTCAGGGTACTCCAGAGCTTATTCTGTTCTATATGTCTGAAAGTGTAGTCCAGACTACTCTAAATTCCAGTCTTAAAGATGCGTGAAGAAGTCCTTATGCTTCCTTCCGTGTATCATGGCTGGTGTCCTCTTGTTGTGGCGGTGCTATAAAAATATCCAGTAATATAAACCTGACCTCTTTGAAAATCACAGAGATTCTCAGAACAAAACAACAGTCAGCTCCATTAATTTATACTCGGGTAAATATTAAGTCTTCCATGTTTGTAGGTGTATTGAAATGGAAGCTGAGTTCCTGCATGTCTCCTTAGACTCAGTGGGCTACGGAGCAGTGAAATAGCCTCTCCTTTATAGAAATGAATTGATGTCATGATGGTCTATAAAGAGAAAAGTTTGTAGGGGAAGAAGATGTCTTCCTAATACTAGAAATGTTCAGGGCAGCTTGCAGGCACACTACAGACCCAGAAATAGAGCCTAAATGCCTGGCTATTGGTTCGTGTTTTTCTCTAGATATATTTGGTTTACTAAGATGTGCATCTTTCTTCAAACAGCATCACACTTTTGTTTAATCATTTGTTTTTTCTAAAACACTTTTCATAATTTAGTTTTGACACTAATTATATTCTTATCTACTTGCATTAGTAAGTGAAAGCAATCTGTGAAAGAATTTAAAGGTAATAAATAAGAAAAAATTCTGATGAAGGATTAAATTTCAAAAGACGGGGAGAAAAAAAAAAAAAAAAGAAAAAAATTTCCAGATGACTAAACCTGCAAAGCAGAGGCACCAGAAGTATTTTGACTGTAGGAGGCGAATAATGAGAAAATTCTCTAAATGAATAGAGAATTTCACATTATATAGTCACCTCAGTTGCCACGAAGAATATAAGGAGCTGTGCTTTTGTGTGATACGTTTTCTGTTAAAAAATAAATGAACATAAGTGATTTTGGTCCTTCTTGTCTAGACTGAACAATATATCACAGTTCTTTAGAAGGAACACATTGCTTTCATTTTTTAATTTTTTTTTTTTATTAAAGGATGGATTTTTTTAAATTGTATCTAGGTACTCTGTCTTGAAAAGCAAGCAAGATCTCCAGACCATCAACACTCAGCCCAAGTGAAGAGGCCATCTCTTTCCAAAGATGCAAGAAAATCCTCTTTTAAGCCTCAGGTTCCTGTCCCGCCACCAGCCGACTCCAACAAACCTGTCCCAGCTTCCCCCGGGACCGACAGCGACAAGAAGACTGACGGGGCAGAGAAGAGTCAGCCTCCCAGTGCCAGTCCTCAGTGGCCGACAGATCTCAGCCGAAGTTCCTCCAGCCTCCATGCCTCGAACTTCAATTATTCTCCTAGTCACCTGTCGGTGAAAGAACCCACTCCCAGCATCGCCTCGGACATATCCCTGCCCATCGCCACGCAGGAGCTGCGGCAAAGGCTGCGACAGCTGGAGAAGTACAGTACTGCTTTCTGCATTACACCCCAGTGCTCTTTTCTTAGCAAAAATCATGGTCAGTGCACCTGCAAAAGCAGAGATGCTGCTGTTTGAATTCCAGAATTTCAGTAGTATTTTTTTTTCCCCTACTGCCAGCATTGCAGTCTATAAGCCTGGCATTTGGAGACTGGTTTTTGTGCTTTCTGGTTCCTTCGTGCGATTGTGCAGTTAGAAGTCAACTTAGCACTGAGCAAGTTAAAAGTCCATCTTGTTCTCATAGCTACATTGGCTAATTAAAAAATAAAAATAAAAATAAAAATAAAAATAAAAATAAAAATAAAAATAAAGTTGGATGGGGAATATTATGTTTCAGTGTAACTTTCGTGCCAATAATAGTTGCCAGTTTCACCACTGAATCCTATTAGCATTAATATAAATTAAGCCAACTAAGCTAGAGATAGCTGGTCTTTATAATCAACAATCCCTCTGAGTAATTTTAAAAGAATATTAAATGACTGGTCAATTGTTATTGAATTAAGGAGGATTGCTGCAAACCATTCTTGTTGCACTTATGATTTCTTTAGTTATCTCTAATTTTTTTACTTGCCTCAGAGGGTAGTTGTGCTTACCAGAAAAGACAGCTGAGAGAAACCATCCTACTTTGAATAGTAGCCTGCAAACCATTAATTCCCTGTTCATCTTGTTAGTTTCTCTATGAATCTAAGTAATTTTTAATTGTTTATTATTCATAACTGTAACTGAACTGAATTCTTATTGTACCTGGAAGATTTCTTAGAATCATAGAGTAATTTAGGTTAGAAGGCACCTCAGAGGGCAGTTACCCGTTGCTCAGAGCAAATCTTACTTCCAAGTTAGAACGGGTTTCTTAGGCCTTGTGCAGTCAAGTTTTTGCATCTCCAAGGATGGAGATTCAAGAAACTTTCTGGGCAGTTTTAGTGCTTAACCACTGCTCTATTGAAGACATTTGCCCATGTCTGACTGAAATTTTTTCTTGATGCAATATTTTCTTGACTGTTGCCTTTTGCCCTTCCGCCATGTACATCTGAGGAGAGTCTGACTCAATAGCTTCCTTCTTAAGCAAATTGCAGTTGGATCTGTTAACCTTCAGTCTAAGCAAATCAGTCTTCCTCAGCATCTGCTTAGGCATTATGTGATTCAGTCACCCTGTTTATCTTGATGGTCCTCCACTGTTTTTCAGTCTGTCAGTCACTCTTCTGGCCCCAAACCAGCATTAGACTTTGTTTATTATGATAAACTAAAGCATATAATTTGTTGAATTTTTTTTGATAACACTGATAAAACTATGACTAAGAAGGTCTTTTTTCTCCCCCCATGAATTATATCTTGCATCAGCGTTGTTAGAAAATTCAGAAAACTATGAGCTGGTTTTCTAACTGGATCCTGGCCCATAGCCAAGCCCATAGAGTGGTTCATAGCTCTTTTTCATTGTGGGCTGCACAGTACTTCCAGTTTGCCAGGTACTGCTCTGATCTTCATCAGTGAGTTTTTTTCTGATAATGATTTTCAAAGCAGAGAAGAACAGCTGATTTCCAGAAGTGATAAGAATCTCAGTTCATTCTCTTGGGGATAGAGCACTTAAACAAGAATTTAAAGTATGAGAAACAGAGGAAGGGCTGCTCATGTTCTTACTTCTGCATGCAGTTTTTCTATTCCACTGTGGAAAGTTAAATTGATAATAGATGGTATCTGTAAATTCTACTCAGCTTGTTTTTCAGCTGAGCTCTTACTCTGTGTGTGTGTGTTTATATATATATAAAAATTTTTCTTACAATTATTTAAAAAAAAAATCAATCTCCTCATGATATTCTGTTTTTTCCTCCACAGTGGAACAACTCTGGGGCAGTCTCCACTAGGACAGATTCAGCTCACAATTCGTCATAGTTCACAGAGAAACAAACTGATCGTGGTTGTGCATTCCTGCAGGTGAGTGTTAGATAACCAAATTCCAATTTTGTACATATTTCTTTGTAAACCTCATAATATCTTGACTTATCCTCTTAAATTGAATGGTTGTCTCAATGGTCTTTATTTTTAAAATGATTTACTGATTGTAACTATGTGTAAATACCAAAGCATGCAGACCTCTCCTCAGAATTAGTAAAACCTTTGAATTTTTTGTTTTCTTATATTTATTGTATCTCTATGACTTTTCTAGTTAAAAAATGGCAATTAGATTTTTATTAGCAGTAGCTGAAAATTATATTGAAGGAACTGGTTTTTTTTTTTTTTTTTTTTTTTTTTTTTTTTTTTTTTTTTTTTTTTTTTTTTTGTTAGATTTCAGAAATGTGATTTTTGGAATGCCATATATCTCAGCTATGAATTTGGAATTTAAGAAGTGAAAAGCAGCATATTCAGCTCTGTCTGCTTACCATTTGTCTGATATCTTACGAGTGGCTGCTCAACACTTCTGCATTGCCTTACCCACTGTATTGTAAACAGCATGCTGATATATTGTGCAGAATATCTCACCTGAGATTCATATGAGAGTCCTAAAATGAATATGCAAATAGTACATATGGCAATAAAATGAACTTTATTTAGGTACAAAGTACTTAATTCAGTAGTAGCTGTGTAAACACTTGTGTTTGACAACATCTCCTTTTATTTTCTAAATGTTTTTCCTTGTTATTCATTGCTCAGGAATCTAATAGCCTTTTCAGAAGAAGGATCTGATCCTTATGTTCGAATGTATTTATTACCTGACAAGAGAAGATCAGGAAGAAGAAAAACACATGTATCAAAGAAGACGTTAAATCCTGTATTTGATCAAATGTAAGTCCTAAGCTGATTTATCTCATATAACAACAGAGTTGCCAAGGCAAGGTTGCTCAGCTTCACTGATTGTGTGACCTGCTTAAATTCTTCCTAGCCAGTGCCAGATTATGCACTCCACCTCTTGCTCCTTCTGTGATCTTCTTGTCATCTTCTCCCCTCTTCTCACAGTAGCCCTTGGTATTCAGCCACTTCTGTGCTTTCTCTGCCTTATCCCATGTCTTTGCTGGCCACCAAGAAGGAGTCGGAGCTTCTTGGGTGGGTGGTTGCTAAGCCAGGACCTTCTAGCAAAGTACCTTCTAGCAGGCAGGTGCTCTTGGCACCTCTTCCAGCACATGGGCTCTGGCCACCTGCACGTGGCCTTGCCTGAAGGAGGGAAAGTTTGTAGAAATACCCCAATTAAGATTCACATTTCTCTTATGTTGATATCAGTGAGGCTGGAGTAAATTACCAGTGGCTTCTGTAGACTAAACGTAACACAAGTGGCAAATATTTGATGCTGATACTGGGCATCATATTGAACAATAATTCTATTAGGTTAGGAATTTATCTTTTCCTTTGTATCAAACCTCATTTTTTGGTTTGTGAAGGGGTATAATTTGTTTTTGTTTTGAACTATTGTTTAGCTGTAGGAACTGAATTTGCACTTTAGGTACAGAATTCCCTAACATATCGTTTTTCTGGGTCAGATTTGATTTCAGTGTTTCCCTACCTGAAGTACAGAGAAGAACACTAGATGTAGCAGTGAAGAACAGCGGTGGTTTCTTGTCCAAAGACAAAGGGCTTCTTGGCAAAGTAAGTTGAAAACACGCAACTTTCCATCAGACAGTAGCTTGGTATTATATGAAGGCTAAGACGCTTATTTGATGTGAGCTTACTGGTATTGACTTAAGTACTTGTTTTAAGCACTATGAAGCTTTTAAAATGATAAATGGCTTAGATGTCAAGCTTCAGTTATGAAAGAATCAAATCATGGAGGATGAGAGAAAACATCAAGCAATGAGATAGTGGTGTTTGCTCCAGAGATCTGTATGTTTTGGCACTGGCAGTAAGACCTAAATGTCAGATTAACAGATCATACAAAGAAAATAACAGCCAGTAGAAAATACAGGGGGTAACTTTGAAAATGGTCTCACAAAACTCAAGCTTTGAAAAAGTTGGTTGAGCCTTTTGCAGGAACAGAGAGAGGAAAGCATTTGCTTTATATCGAACTGAAAAGCATGTGGGATGAGATGGAACTAAATCACTGAAGGGTGTAGATTTTTAAGTTGAAAACAGCAACTTGAAACTTTACTAGAAGCCTAAAGACAGAGGTACCTATGACAGCAAGGGCTTAAAATGTTCCTTGTTAATGATATTACGTATGCTATAGTTTAAAGGATACTTAGATTTGATCTTTAAAAAAATGTAATGTGGGATGTACATAATGCATTGATTTCTATTTTAATTTCTGTAGTTACTGATACCTCTGGCATCTGAAGAACTTGCTAAAGGCTGGACCCAGTGGTAAGAATATTAATATTTCCTTTACTAACCATAGCAACATACCCAAATACCTGTGTTAATCAGTGTTAGGAATGCACTCCGAGTATAAACGAGAGCCCTTCTTTGTTCTTTCCCTTTCCAGGTATGATTTAACAGAGGATGGTACAAGGCCGCAGGGTGCAAGCTAGGCCCTCAGCACGGGGAATTCGCCACGTGTATTTTTGCCAACCTTTCTATATTTTTAAAGCATTGCTCTCACAGATGTACCAATATTATTTTTATAGCTTCACTGATTTAGTTCTTAGAGACATCCCAAATAATTTTATAACACTTGTTCATTTTATGTAGTCATAACCTTTCTCATTGTTAAAATTTGTATTTTATTTTGCTAAACAGTTCTGTGTTACTGTCATGTGCAATAGTAAAGTAACCTTTTGTGTTTAAAATGACCTTTATGGCAGATGTACCTTTTAGAAAGTGAAAAGATGATGTTCTGCTGTTTTCCTGCCTTGTTTTATATATCACCAATGTATACTGTACCATGTAAATACATACTATTTTTTTATAATTCTTCCATGCTGGTTTAAATTCAGAAGAAATTAGATAAAGGATATAGATATTTTCTTCTACATGCATGTGAATTTTGTTAGATGATTCTCTTATGTCTTTGCAGCACAATGGTCTTAATGTTGTTCATTTTGTGATACTCTTCAGAAACAAATTGCAAAAGGCATTATGGCTTTTGTGTGTTCCTGGCCTAGTATGGCTGGTTTGAAATGTACAAAACGTTTAAAATTTTAATATTTATATATAAATGTATTATTGGAAAATCATGCTATAGAATATTATAAACAAATGAGAATTCTATAATAATGTATAAAGAGGAGATCCATGAATCAGTTTATTAATCTGGGTTTTCATTTGAGGGAGTAAGCCTAGCAAACAGTCCAGAGTTTTATTATACAGGTTCACTTGCTTTTTTTGCTATTTATTCCCGTACTCTATAGTACTAGACATGTGACCTTCTAAACATATGAGTACATGGAGGTTTTTCTATGTTATAAACAAAATCTTGAACTCGGAACTGTCCTTACCTGCCTCTCTCCGTTGATTTAAGGAGCACCAATCAGCTTGCAGTGTAGGTTCATACCGTAGGCATACGTACAGCGCATACAATATTTTTATTATTCAGTACTATGCTAAACAGCATATTTTACCTTCAGTAATACTCAAGTGGGGCACCAAGAGGTAAAGTGCAGAACTGGGTTCAAACTGTCCTGCCAGCTGCTTCGTGGCCCGTGGTGTTGGGGGCCTGTTGAGGGGGCTGCAGACGGGCCCGGAGGCGCCGAGCGCGGCCCGACGGGCTGCCCACAGACAGGGGGGCAGAGTCGTGGCCTCACGGTTCTGCTCTCCACTCTCATGCCCTGAATTATGGGGAAACTTTTGTAGCCAGATCTGGTTTTTCTTTCTTGGGAGTTTTTTTCAGACTGTTATTAAAATGTGCATTATGAATCCAAGGGAACAGTTCGGCCGCCGCAGAGCCGAAAGCCTCATCCTTGGATAAGTATGCAATTAGACAGGCAAAGAATACCATTTAGCTAAGATTCTAGAAAGATCTCTCGGCCAAGAAATGATTTTTAAAGCAGAATAATAAATTCCTGAGACTAGCTTTATTATAAAATGACTGACAGAACCTTAATTCTAGGTGTAGAATATGTCTGCATTACTAGATGTACCCAAGTGCCTACCATAGATGTAGCTTTGTCTTTTTCAAGTTTAGGAACTGACGCATTTCAGTTCGTTTAAATCGAGTTTAACATGAGCATCTATTGCACAGATGTGTGCTTGCACGCACCTCCATACAGTGGTAGCCTTCCTATTGCAACACTCTATACAAGAGAATTCCAGCAAAGGAACCGGGATGGTGAATTCCATGTTGTTTTCTGATGGGTTGGCCAATAAGAGAGAGTTTCTTTATATGAGTAAGAGAACGTATTTCCCTTTGAAGGCTTTGCTTTATATTGGAATGTATACATATCTATATGTGTGTGTATATTTATATATATACACACTTACCTGTTCACATGAAATGTAGTATATCATTATATATATATATATTTTTGTTCTCCATTAAAGGAAATTAGGAAATCACTAACTAAAAGAATTACTGTAAATGTAATGAAGATGCAGAAAGCTAAAGCTGATCTAAATAAGAGGGGTAGTTCAGGAGGGGGAAGGACTTTCGCTGTACATCTTGGCCAGTGATTCCCTGCAGTTTCATCCCAAGCCAACAAGTTAGTTGTTAGTCTGGGTCAGTGCTTCAAGTTTTAAGTGAACTCCGGGTTCAGAAAACATTAGAGGACACTGTGCTTGATTACAAAAAGCAGAATGTATTTTGTCTTCAGAAGGCCTAGGAACCTTCCTGACTGTCAGAAAAATGTGTGATGGGAGGACAAAGTGAGGAGCTGAATATGTAGGACAGCACCCAGAAATAGGTGCTAAATAGGTGTCCTAAATAGATTTTAACAGACCCAGAACCCATTTAGGAATTTGGAATCAAGAGATGCTATTTCCTTTGGGATTCAGCAAAAAAAAGTTCCTATCGACAATAGGAACAGGGGCATGATCAGCCTGGGGTGCCAAGCTCTAGGAATTCTCTCCTGTGTGAACTTGGATGAGAGTAAGGCTGCCTAGGTGAGACTGCTCCTGCTCTTGATGGTGGAAACGAATCTCTGGATCGCAGTTCCTGAGTCCTGAGTGTCCCGTTTATGTGGAAGATCCCCACCTCATTCTCAAGTCAATGTATTGAATATCACCTGACAGCTTTTCATGTAGTTCTTTTTTATCCTGTGCCTTAAAATATGAAGATGTTTAAGAAGTGGCTAAAAATAAGGGTTGTTACCTGTATGCATCTACATGTGTTCTCTGCTATTGCAACGGTTTTTAGAATTGCTCTGCTTCACTGACAAGAAACCAGCTCTCTTAATGATAGCATTGTATAACCCAAACTCCAATCAGCATGCATATCACTTGCATTTGAATTCAAAGTTTTTATTTTCTGTCTTAATTCCTTTATCAGAGCTGCAGCAGTGTGAGAGTTGAAATGAGAAAAAAGGTGATCACTTTTGTTAGATTGCCTTTTTTGCTCATGTAATTCTACATTATGATGCATGTATTTATTCAATAAATGGTTCATATGGAAGTTGGTGTGGGTTTTTTTTTCTTCTTTCATTTTGCATTTTTATGCGGTTAAATCAGTAATACACACTAGCTACTCTAACCTAGGTAGCTTTCCTGTAAGATGTGTGGGTAGATTTGTGGGTTCTTTGTTGTTTGATTTTTAATTTTTTTAATTTTTTATTTTTTTCTCCTAATCAATTGAAAGAATTACCAAAATTATAATGCTTTTTTTCTTAAAGATCCTATGATTTGAAATACTTTTCAGAAGATCAATTAAAATTGAGAAGTTTCTGATATTTTTATATAAAGAAATGCACTAAATCATTCCTCTGAGGTTATTTTTCTTCATGAGTTGAAATCTGCTGTGATACACATGTGTATACTACTTATGTCCTTCTGAACTCTGTTTTGAAAATATCTATATTCTTGAGAACTAAGGATCAGAATTTGCAGAACTGCACTGATTACTGAGCCTGACTGTGCTGGCCCTGGTACTTGAGATGGTTGAATTTAAGCCCTGGACAGAATGTTTTTGGAAGTGACATATCTTGTAAGTCAGTTAATTTTTACACTGAGGGTTATCACATGCGAAAGCCCCAATATCAGAAGTTTTCTCATGATACTTAGTGTCAGGATCCCACAGAATTACAGAATAGTTGAGGTTGGAAAGGACCTTTACAGACCATCTAGTCAACCCTCCTGCTCCAGCAGGGTCATCTACAGCAGCGTGAGCAGGTTGGGGTTGAACAGAGCCCCATGGACACTCCACTCTTCTCCTAGCACCTCCTGGCCTTGCTCCAGCAGCCTCCTCTCTCTCCAGTCTGGGCTTCCCGGTACCAGATCCGGTGCTCCCGGGCTGAACAGAGGCGCAGGGTCACCTCCCTCAGCCTGCTGGCACCACTCTTGTCAGGCAGTCCAGGCTGTCCGGGCCACCTTGGCCAGGGGACACACTGGTGGTGTGGGTCATCGCGCTGTCCATGCAGGCCCCACGTCCCTCTCCACAGGGCTGCTTTCCAGCAGCTCAGACCCCAGCCTGTCCTCGGGCCTGCGGTTGTTCCTCTCTAGGGGCAGGACCCTGCGCCTGCCTTTGCTGAACTTCATGAGGGTCCTCTGCCCATCACTCCGGCCTCTCCAGGCCTCTCTGAACGGCAGTACGGACCCTCCCGGTTGGTATCAGCAGCAAACGTGCCGAGGGGGCACTCTGCACCCTCATCTGGGCCACGGGGATCTTATGGGAGGCAGCGTCAGGAGCCCTTCTGGGTTCAAGGTGGGCAACGTGCCCGGCTCCGCGCCCACCTCTGCAACCCATTACTCCTTCTGGAAGGCACTCAGGTTGGTTGAGCATCATCTCCTCTTTGCAATCTGGCTTCTCCTGACCACACTTTGTTCCTCGTGTTGGAATTGGTATCCAGCATCACCTACTCCATCAACTGTCTAATTATCTATGGTGCTAACTGTTGATCTTGGTTTAGTTAAACTTTTTTCTTTCTTTAAATTCTCTAGACCATCAGTAGCTTTATCACACTTTTATCCCATTACTTCAACTTTCTCAAATAATAACTTTTCTTTCAAACTCTCTTGTAGTGAGATTCCCCTAGACTCCCAAACCCCTAAATTCCTCCAAAACTTTCAAACCTAGATGGCCAGCACTGCATGTGCCTTTGCAAAGGAGGTTTTACCACTAATTATATAATATCATTAAATATTTTTGCCTTATAGCTATCATCATGCTCTTGTTTTTTGGCTAGCTCTCCATGATTGGATTTTTAAGCTGAGATGTTTGCAGTCATGCTGCTTTTTGCACGTGATACTTTAATTTAGAAATATGAAAACTAAGTAGTTTAATCTTTCCTGTATGGAGCATTTTGTTCATCAACACTGATGTTATTTTCCACTATGCTGCCCACTGAATTTTCATAAATCATTTTGCAGATCTTTGCTGTTACTGTGGGTTGAAATATCTCTGTGTGACTTTGCCATGTACAGTTTTTCCTGTCATAGGTTCTTCCTGTGCCCGTTCAGATAATAAATAATAGAAACTGCCAGTCTGGCCTTCTTACTGTTTATTTTTTTGCCCTAATGAAAGCCCTCTGTTTATTATTCTTTTATTTCTAGACTCTGGCTGGTCTTTGATGCCTGGTAATGCCACAGTTTCCTGTGATTATTTAACTCCTTTAGTGGTATCAGATCAGGAGTTGGTCACAAGTTTCCTGGAAAGAAATTGCGAACTGAATCTCTGTTCTTTCCTTGTTGTTCAGAAAGGCCTCTTTGCCTTCACATTTCAGACCTACTCCATGATGGTTTTGCCGATGTTTTCTGACTCGCTGTATTTTTGATAAACAATTTTCAGAATCCAGTTGTCTATAGGTCAACCAATGAAGGTTTTGAATTTTACTGGATCACCGGGATGAGTTCCCTAAAACAAACAAAAAAAATGGATACACATTGGATGGTTGTTGCTTCCAGTACTGAATTTCTAGTAAGCTATATTTAATTCTACAACCAGTCTTGCAAGCTGTTAGATTTTTCTACAAACTTGGAGGCATTGACAACTAGGGCTTACCAGGAAGTCCACAAAAATTAATTCCACTTAATAAAGAATATTCAGTAAGACAGTCCTGCACGGGCCTCATTCAACATTAGGGAAATATTTCAACTGGTAAGACGAAATACTTGGAAGTATTTTGCATGTTTCTCTGTTGCTGTGTGCAGTTTGATGTTATCCCATAGCAATGTTTTCCACCTGGAATTGATAAGACCCGTTTATGTGGTTCTGCATGAGCCATGAATGCTCCCCTAGCTCAGGTAAACACGGTAGCCACGGGGCATGTGCTCTACTATAAACCTTTCTGTGGAAGCCAGACAGATGAATCTGGAGTGTGACGAGAGCCCCCATCCAAACAAAGAACTCAAACTGTTTCCAACCTTGTCACTCATACAGGTGACAAATGAGAAACATTGAAAACAAGGTAATGAAAAATGGCTATTCATCACAAAATGATGTTCAAAACAAATGATGTTTTTAGCAGTGCTGGGTTTTGCATTTTGTTAGGCAAATCATTAAGCTTACTTAGATGGCAAGTAAAAGAAATTGCACTTGAAGGTTTAAATATTCAAGCTATTAAAGCTGTTAAATAGCTTTCTGAATAGAGGTATAAACGTTTGCATTTTGGACAGCTTTCATGGTACTTGCTGTCCTTTTTCTAGTTATTGGAAATGTACAAAATAGTTCTAAATGTTCTGTTTATAAAGCATTTTAGTTCTGCTTTTCTTCTCTTGGGCAATCAGACTTTTTTGGAGTTATCAGAAATTTTCAGATCTATGCTTATTAGTGCGCAATCTTCTTCTCGGAAGACACCCTCACATTCCCTCTGATGGTGCTGCAGGCCCTAATGCCAAAACCCGGACGGTTTTGCTGCCTGTTCGGTTTATTTCTTGTACAGTAACAAAGTCATCTGGATCCATGGCAGTTTTAGTGGTGGAAACTGAAGGAATCCTGGGTGAAAAGCAGGGAACAGCTCCTGGGCTCCTCACTGCACCCTGCTCTCCCCCTCTACTCCTATGCATAGCTAAGAACATTCAGTTTCGGGGGACGTTAATAGTTATGCCCACACTTAGTCTGCCAAAGTACTTTTATGAAAGGATATAGTCGTGATGCAGGGGGAAATAAAGCACCTGGTTCAAGTAATTCTGTGATTTGAAACTTCGGGTAGATGAAATTCTATTTTGAGTTCACAATAAATTTAGCTTGCATCTGTGAGCAATTCTCCTAGGTGTTTCATACCTTAAGTAGTTATGCCTATAAGATCAAGGTTGATTATAAAATTCTCTAGAGGAGGTAGCCCAGCTTCAGGAAGACTGTGTGAAACGTGGAGCCAGGCAGAAGCAGCCACGGGTCACACCTGGACCTCAGCGGTTGTGAGGTGTGAGCAAGGAGGTTTCGGTCCGCTCTGGCATAGTTGAGACGTTACCATTCTGCAAGTGTCTGTTTCCGCTACTGCTAAAGCAGATCACGAACGAGGTGAGAACCTCAGTGTATCTAACAAAAATGAAACCCACCCAGCAGCAATGCAATAAACGCAGGGGGAAAGGATATTTAGGGAAAAAGAGGAAATTCTACTAGAAGAAAGACCTTACAAAACAATCTGATGGAAACATCCCAGTCTGACACCCAAGCATGAGTTCCCCTTCCTCAATTCCCTGTTTCTTATTTACACTATACAAAGCGAAGTGGGCAGGAAGTCTCAAGGAGAGCACGGGCTGCTGCTTTGCTCCTCATCCAGATCAGGAACGTGGGGAAGCTCCATCCCCCAGCCCTGGCAAAACCTGTGTCACCACAAGGGTGGAATAAAAGCCGGTATATTCACCAACCAAGGGAAAAGAGTTTTGTTAGTATAGAGCTTTGTTAGAGTTTTGTTACTTATATAAGTAAAGTTACTTATATGTGCATATACACACACGTGTATGTACACACATTCATACATATGATCAACTACAGTTGTATATATGTGGATGTGCATGTGTGAATATATATATAGTCACAGAGAGAAGCAAATCACATCCATCCTGATTCTAATAGATTGATGGAACAGAGATTCTCTTCTGCCTGATGGATGTCTATCACCATGAAGCCTCTCAAAGTGCTTTTAAAATTAATAATACTGATAACAGTATTAATATACTTTATTAATATACTTTGCAAACCATTTTTTTCTTAATCTATAGAGCCTAAAATAGAACAAGGCTTGAAAGGCGACAAAACACTTCTGTGAGCTGTAAATTGCTAATGATTCTTGCTGTTAAAATCAATAGGGATAACGTAATTTAGACACAGCAGATGTGAACGTAGCCTTTTACAGCTGAAAAAAAAGACAAATGTGTTAGACATTTACTCATTGATACATAATATTCTGAAGCTGCCTGTGATTTTATACTGGAAAATGTTTGTTGTTAGAATGAAAATAAGAGGGAAAAAAAAGTGATGCTCCTTGTTTGAAATATTCCATTAAGTTCTTTTATACATAATGAGTTTTCAGGGGTTGTATTTACTGAAGAACAAATGTAGGTATGCAAATGCAATGTAAAGGTGTGTTAAGTAATGGCCATACTGCTGGCGCTCCGCAGCAATTCAGAAACCTCATTTTCACCGTCCACGCGAAGCAGCCGGGAAGCAGGAGCGGGAAGAGCGGCCCCGGATTCCACCTGGCGCCAGGGACACCCGCACTTCCCGGCGGCTCCACACGGGGGCACTTCAGCACCTCGGAAGCACCCAGGGCTCCCAAGGGAGCGGCTGCTCAGCGAGGCTCTTGCTGTTGGAGTTAGCACGGACTTCTCTTTTATTCTTCTGTAATAAATGTTCTTGGTGGGGTTTTTTCCCCCAGTTATTCTCTTAAACTCTAAAACTGCTTCATGTTAGTATTAATAATTTAAGGGAGGTGAGCGGTGTCAAGGTCTAACCACGGCACATGGGAAAGTGTCAGGTGCTTTCGCATCAAGGCTGGCCAGCGGCAGTGCCACCGAGGGCAGACGGAGATGGAGAAGGGCAGCAGTGGGACATTCATCTCTCTCTTTTTGCTGTTTGCAGCATTTACCTAATCTGTGCAGATGGAAAAAAAAATCAAGGAAAATGATGCATGTAAATTATTAACAGCCACCTCAGAGAACGAGCAGGTTCTGTGGATCTTATATTAAGTGTAACACATTATGTCATATGTTCAAAAGGAGTAACAATTCCATAAGGCTCATATATAAAGCGTGCAACAGTCTCATCAGAAACTGTTACCTAGAAAATAACACTGTTAATAGGAAATAAAAGACAATATAAATGCCAAGAAAGTACCATGATGCTCAGGGAGTAACTTGTTTATTTTTACAAGGATGTATAATGTTGGACCATGCAGATTAAAACAGATACTTGATATAGTCCAAACTGTAAGATCCCTGTGAAAGAGACAGGTAATTGAGATCTCTCACACAGGCCACCGACACGAAAAAAAGGCAGGTTTGTGATGAAGCAGCAGCACAAAAGCAAATCTTTATTTGCGGTTGCTCAGCAACCATGTGCGAAGGGCCCATTTTTCATTTCTGCTTTAACTTGACTTGACAGGAAAATGATAATAAATACGAGATTATTATCAACGGGTATAGATTATTTCAAACTGATGAACAGCCATGTCAAAAAGAGGCATGTAATTTAGTAGCCCTTGAAAGAGAGATCATTAGAAAATAGGATTGTAGGTTCATTACTCGCTTTGGGTTCCTACTCCATTCTGCCTCTCTGTTCTCTCTACACCCTTCTTCAAATCAAATCTTTCTGTGTTATCCAGCCTGTTGTTACCTGTGTCAACTTTTAGTTTCAATAATATGAACCCATCATTCTCTGGTTGCTATTCAACACAACCCATAGGCTGAAAGAAATTCTAGCCTGTTTACTAAATCGATATGGGCCGACTAAATAAACAGTAACCAGGTGACTAATGTAGCAGCTAATTAAAGGAGTAATCGAGGTATTAACACAATGTTCAGGCCACACAAGAGACGCAATAACCAACCCCATCATTTCAGTTCTAAAGGGTCTGAGATTTTTTCATACATGCAGAAAGGACAGACATTGTCAAACAACAAATGTCAATTTTAATGCTTTGTATTTACTCTCGCTCTTGCACAATGATGATGGTTGCTCCTGCAAGCTGCTTCATGGCAGAAGAAGAGAGGAGAAGGGAAGGGAAGGGAATCCCAATTTTTGCTACTCTTTTACCTGTGGAGCAGCAAAATGCCCCTTTGATCGGGGGGCTGTGCCTGAAGTTGACGTGTACTGGCTATCACACGTGGGTGTTAGGGCTGAAGGACAAATCTCTCTCATGAGGTGCAGTAACATTAGTCCTCTCTGTATACATGTTTCAGAAGCAACACAGAATAGCAATTAATTATATGGAATAAACATAAAATAAATTTTATTTTTCATTCTATAATTTTCATCAAGTAAGTAAAAGTAAGATAAATAAAAAAAGCAGCTAAATGGTTTAGTCAGAAAACTTTAAAAAATTAAACAGGAAAAGTATTTCAGTCAAACATATACGGGAGGAAATGTCACTGTCCCAGTTTTGAGATATAGCAAGATTAAAGGAGAGTCTATGAAAAAATAAAACTACTGCTGAAGAACATAACTGCTTCTTTTAAAGAGTGAACTTTTACAGATAGTATTCTTAATTCAATGAAATCTGAATCAGATTTTGCTTTGAAAAACACAGTCTGGAAAAGTTCTATCAGATGTGAGATTTTTTGTAGACAACGTTCATTTTATTTTTTGTTGTTGCACAGCAGAGCAACATATACTGCTCCACAGTCATACACTGAAATTAAACAATTTCAGGCAAGCATCTAGTTCTTCCCAGACACTATTATCCCTGGGAAACATTAAAAAATATAACGAAACTGGAAATGCAAAATTGAAAACAACAAATTAAGCCCTTAAAAGAAGGCCTTAAAGTGACTATTTTTAGTTTGCAGAGGAGCTCAGAGGAGTTTGCAGAGGGAATATTACAGAATGGGAAGGCTGTTTGTGGTTAATACAACTGCTCCTGCTCAGTGCAGTTTGAAAAATACTTCCTGATTTACCAAAAAAAAAAAAAAAAAAAAAAAAAGCCTGTTAACATTTTGCTGCGCGTGGTGACGTCACCACCCCTCACGGCCGCCCGCGCCAACGGCTGCGCGGGCGGGACAGCAACTCTCGCGAGACGGGAGCGGTGCGCGCCCCAACGGCTGCGGCGGGAGCGTTCGAACGCGCCGGGCGAGCGCGCGGCGGCGCCGGCGCCGGAACGGGAACAGGAACAGGGACGCGCTCCTCGCGGCTCTGCCCCGTCTCCGAGCAGCTCCCGGGGCTCGCGCCCTTTCCAGCTCCGCGGAAAGGCGCCTTGGCGGCGGGGCGGCCGAACGGGCCCGGCTTTGCTTGGGGCACTCGCCTCATTTCTCTGCCTCTAAACGCGGCGATCACCTTTTCCTCCCTTTCCTGCTGTTGTTGGCCAGAGCCAGTTTTCCAGTTTTTCTGGGAGCGTAGCCCGTCGGTCCATGAGGATTTCTTCCTGTGAGAGTGTCAGGTAAGAGGCCCTTTTAACCCACAAGTTGCTTCCTCCTCTGTTCGGGGTATGTGCGGGACCCTGGGGAGGACCTGGCCAGAAGTTAATTGATTAATCTGGAAAAGGTCATCAGCTTTTAAGGCTTTCCTATTTAATAAATACAGGGAGTTTTAATTTGTCATGCTGTGGACTTATGCGGTTATGAATCTAAACATGCCAAATCAGGTTGAGGAGTGAAAAATTGACTTGTAATGGTTTGTATAAAAAAATGTGAGTTAATATATTCTGTTTGGGTCCAATAGTATTTTGGATATTGATTTTTTTTTTTTTGGTATAGACTTATAAAACAAGGCAAAGAAAGACCATAATGAAGCGTGAAGCCTTTTTAAAAGTTGTGTCTAAGGACTCAATTGAAGATTTCCTGCGTTTTACTCAGATTCCTGTAAGTAAGCAACAATGCATATATATATCGCTAACATATATATAATATATATATATCGCTAAGTCTTAAATCTTTCTCTGTCAGAGGGGCAGAAAATTTTTCCCCATATGTGCTCACATAATAGCCCATATGTGGAAATAATAGCACTTTTGCAGAAAATAAGTTGAACTTACTGGAGCATAGCTGAAAAAGCACAATCTGAATTTGTTCCTATGTTACAAAGCAGCTCATGTTTAAATACTTGGTTGTTGTATATAGTTTGCAGCTTTAGAATAATGGTTAATGCAGCAATAACAGTAGAAAAATATTCATTTGCTACTGAGAAAGTTTTGTTTTTTAAATATGGACCCATAAAAGAGTAAGTTTGCTGCTGTATAACAAATGGGAGCTAATATACAGACCTAGCAAAGACGTGTTTTGGTAGCATTTTTTCACCGATTTGATAGTTTAGGCCATCTACTTCTTTAGTCAACATACAATTGTATTTAATAATTCTTTCCACCACTGAATGTTCTGGAGATATGATGGAGATTAATAGATCTCTAAAGGGACCATGGAGAAAGGGCAGGGAGAAGAACAAAATAAATCATGTCAGGGTGAAGTAAAGTACAGTTGAACTTTGTGTTCACAGGGGGACAAATTAATTTATTAATGAAACATAGATATGAAACCTATCGCATCTACAATTGTTATCATGCTAATAAGCTTATAATTATTTGTGTCCCAAACGCTGCTGAGAGTTTCTTTGTCCAAGTATTTTGAGCTTTCCGGTTACAACTTGGCATTTTCTTATGCTAAAGTCAGGGGCACAACTTTATTCATGGATTGCCTTTTCTTCAAAGCTCCTTCCCATTATTTTTATATTTCTCCCCAAATCACTTTGAAAAGAAATTGTTCTGCTTAGGATAATATAGGATACTTTCTCTTTCCTTGTTGATGGTCAAGTTTCTTCTCCCTTCTCCATCCACTAACTGATCCTGATATTCGTCATGGTCTCTTCATATTAAAATTTGCTTTTCTGACCCCGTGTCTTGGAGAACAATATGATGTGGGTATCATTTTTGCATCACCCATTCACAAGAGCTCTTACAACAATGTGCAGCCATCTATTGCTTGTAAAACTGAATTACTGTGCCAAAACGGAGCCCTCTTGTATTTTAGAAATGAACTGTTTGACACATCCCTTTTGCCGCAGTTTAGTAGCCTCTATCCTTTTAGTTTCTAAGCTTCAGTTCCAATTCCCTAGCCAACACCTCTGGAAACTGATTATCACAATCTCTAAAGAAAGTATCGGTTTTAAAATAGCCTAAGTTCCTTCATGGTGAAAGAGAAAAGGAATATCCAGGCTAGATTGCTCTTTGATTGTCGACCAGACTTGAGCAGTTTTATTCATTTTTCTCTCCAAACATTTTTAAATAATTGTCCTCCTTTCTGGAGGAGGCTGTGGTGGTATATTTTGTTCTTTGGAAGTTGGTGTGTGGATATAGGAAAAAAAGGAGAAAGTTTTTTTTTTTAATAGAAAAAAAGAATTTTTAGTCTTATAACTTTCCTTACTTTGCATATTGTATTTATTCCTATGATTCTACCTATTTTGTGCTCTAGCCTCAGAATTGACCTTTTTCACGTTTCAAGTTTTCTTTTTAGCATTCCTACCATTTCAGTGTCTCCCATTCCTGTCCTCCTTTTAATTTTCTTTTTACCTCCTCTCATTCTTTCATTTGATTCAAATACTTTTAAATTCTATGGATTTGCTACTTTCCCTTTGTTTGATTTGGGCTTTCCTGTTTTCTTTCTTTTATTATTGAAAGGTTGCTATACTGCTTCTCAAAATCTTTATGGAATTCTGTTGAATTTCCCATTAAATCCAAGCCAAGAAAACATAGTATTTCTTAGCGATATATGTGACTAATTTGTATTTTTTTTCCATCATTCAATGACATCCTTTTCCCTAATAGGTTTTGGAGTAATTCTGCTTCATTTCATCCCAAGGAATGAACCAAAAGCTCTAGTCTTATCATGAATACATTCTTTTTGTTCAAATCAGTGCGATCTTAATATCTTATCTTTTGGGTTTGTTTGAAGTAGAGGCCTACACAACTCCCTGTGCATCCATGCTTAATTGTTTCTCTTTCCAGCTGTAGGATGGAATAGACATTTTGCTATAAATATGTAACAGAGCTTTCTCCTCTTAGCTTTCTGGGAACCTTTCTGGGAACTTCACTGTTGCAAGTTGCATCTCAAAAATCTTCAGAACCTCTTGATCTTTGTCCGTTTTTGCCTGTCTTCTGCTCTGTTTTTCCTATGTGTGTTCCCTTTCCTGCTCTTGATGCTAATAGGCTTTCCACATCTGAGTTATATCTGAGACCCTAGAAGGGGTCTTATGAGGAAATCATTCAGACTGATCTCCTGGTGAAGTGGATAACCCCTATAAACCAAAGAAGTTATTTTATGTAATTAAATATGTCAAGGATACTGCTCCTCTTGGAGCTCTAGTTTTGAGGATATACGAGCACTTATGGAAAGTTGCCAAATGTACCAATGTGACAAATGTTAGAAGAATATTAAAGGATATTAGCAGACATTTTATATGTGATGGAGAATCCTCCATCCTGAAGACTCTTGAACTTCAACAGAAGTGTCTTCTGTACTGACTGGTCCTGAACAGATGACAAAGATTGTTTAATGTGGTGCCTGCTACCTCAACTGACCAAATTGCAAAGTCCTCTGTTATAGAAACTAATGGTGCCTCAGGAACTCCAGATCTGACTTTCCATTAAGTAGAATTTAAGAGGAGAATATGGAGTTAATGTGCTCAGGAATTAGTTGGGAAGCTGGGATCAGGGAAGGTAATTTCACCAGTTCTCAAATCTCTAGCTAAGAGAATGAAATTTCTTCCATCAGGGATGGAGTATTGCGAACACATGAAAGAGAATATGATGTTGTAGGGACGTGGTTTATGTTCAGTGGTATTGGTATCAAGGAATAAAGACTTTATTCTTAAAAGAGTTTCTGTAGTTTCCTGATAATGTCAACTAACAGGAGTAACAAGAAACAGAATTTTCTCATGCTGCTTTTTAAAGAAATACAACTTTCAGGATATACTTTATTACTTCAAAGGAATGGCAAATAGTTCTTATTCTCAAGGCATATGTTAATTTTAGGAAATGTAATGATGAAATAAAAGCTATTTCACTGATACATGTGTAATGCCTTATAACCATTTCACAGAAAAACACATTTGATCCATTTGACTTAAATGAGCTACTTCAAGAACTGCCAAGAAAACAAAAAGAAGTACTGTGGGAGCGGCTGACACATCTATTGACACAGATTTTGATGGAGAACCCTGTGGAAAAATGGCAGAGGACTGAAGATGATGAAAATAATGATGATATGGAAGTTGAGATAACTCCAGAAATGGTAAAAATCTCCTAAAATAAGTATATGACAGGTCGTTATGACAAGCTGACTGGAGTCAAAAGCCTTTTCAAATATTTTGAAACCATTATGTTTTAAATTTATGCCTCTATTGCTTTTGAACTTTATTGCTTTTGGATGCCAATACACTCTGTTCAGAATGGAAGCAGAATAACGTTTCATTTTTGCTTTCCGTTACTAAGAGTTGTTGTCATAGTTATCCTCTGACTATAAAGTAGCCTGCAGAATTTGGTCCTCATCTTTCCCACTCATCCCCTGTCTCCAGAAACAAACTGTAGCTGTGATCCAAGGAGTGACAGCCGTAGTTATTGCTTCCATACCTGTAGTGGATGAAAACGTGAACTACAAAGCTCTTCTAGAATGTGCTTTTATATTAAATGGTACGTATATGTCCGTCATGGAATGTACTTTATACTGTATTCCAACTGATGAGTGTATTAGACTTTTTGCTTAAATACCATTTCATTTCAGAATGTATTGATTCATTTCAGTCAGGTAAAAATGCCAAAGTTGATACTGATGTGAGTTCATATTAAACAAAATTAAGGGATTGTTACATAAAAACAAATGATGTAGTCTTAAAGATGTGATTTATTTTTTCTTCTTATCTCTGCGCTGAATGATTCTCTTACTATTGATCGAATAACCAAAACCTTAAATTAACATACCTGTTACACCCACAATAGGAATAAGTCATTTTTAATAAGATGTAAAAACATGGAAAAAGCTAGCAGACATCGTCAAGTGCATGTAGAATTGACTAGTGTTTTACAGGATTAATATAAATCATTACAATAAATAATTACTTTATAATTTTGTAGGTATTCTTCCTGCATTGCCTGAGGCTGAAACAATCCTACAGGATGCCATCCAGCGAATATGTGAACTTTGGTGGGAGAAAGGACTGGAAGGGAAGGAACAGCTGGGAAAAACTGCATTTATTATCCTGCTAAGAAAAAGCCTGAATAAAGCTGCTACGGTATCGTGAAACTATATAGACTTTTAAGTTATTACTGAATGTTCTAAGAAACAAAACTGCTCCACAATACTCTCTTTCCCAAGTTAACTTGTTTTCACTGTCTTAGTGCTTTTTAACTAATGATCCCTTAGAATGCATGTTGGTTACAAAGCATCCTTTGGAGGTTGCATGCATAAACAAGACTTGAAAATGTTGTCTTCTTTAGAATAAACTCTTAGGATTTTTAGCATCAGTATCACAAATGAACTATTATTTTACAGTCTTTTTTAATTTACTTGTTTCTGAAGTCCAGTAACCAAGGATTCAGTAGCACTTTTGGTTAATTCAGCAACTTGTAGAGACTTCTTGTATGGGATGCTGAATTTTCTGTTACTCTATAATATTGACTTTTTTTTTAACATATTTCTCTACTAATTGATTGAAGTCCTTCTTTTCTAATTTGTAAGTTACTTAGAGCAAAATGACATGCATGTTTTTGCACTAACCCAATGTTTCTTTCACTCATCCCTTTCTTTTATTTTTCGCTATGAACAGTGGCTTTTACTGCAAAAAATTTTCAGAAGTGGCATAGTTATCTATTTTGCATAAAATGTCAGCTTGCTCTCTGCCTATCTTCGGTTGTTGGAAGTCAGTGTTTCCACACTTATGCCTATTTGTCATCTTTGTGATGGAAATAAAAGTTGTTAATTTTGCCATCCAATGATCTCCTAATATCTGTACCAGTGCATTTCATATTCAGGGTTAAAAATCCTGTAATTGATTCTTCATTTTAAAGGTTCACACTTCTACCTGCTTCACTATAATGCAGCAGGCATCTTTTTCGTTCCTCCCGTCCTCTCTCAGGGTGCAGATATAGTTCGTCTGTGGAATCTACATCAGACCTTACTGTGTTTTGATTACGACTTGGAGGAGAGTAATGTAGTCAAGGACTTGTTGCTTCAGTGTTTTATGAGCATAAAACACATTAAGAAAGAAGAGGTAGGCAAAAGCTTATTCTATTTTAAAAGTTTGTTTCATTTGACCCGTAACCCTATATTTATTTACTCTTTTTTTGCAGCAGCAGCTTTTAAATTGGGGCATCCTCTGTATATTTATATGTTTATATCTATACACACACACACACACACACACACACAAAATATATATATTTTTTCCATTTACTCTTTTCAACAGGGAAGAAGATTCTTGAGTTTTTTGTTTGGCTGGAATGTGAACTTCATTAAAATGATCCATGGAACTGTTAAAAACCAATTACAGTTTTTTCCAAGGTAAGAACCACAGATATTCTTAATGAGTATTAAGAGCTTGGCTAAAGTTTTCTTTGTCTCAAGTTCTAAAATACCTTGTATGTTGACAGAAAATATCTGAATGCAGAGGCTTAGAAATCTACTGAATAAAATGAGTGTATTGTGTCAATAATTTCATGTAATAGCTGCCTTGCACATACCTACGTATACAATTATAGGTGTAATAAAATGCTTATTTAGCATTACCTAAAGCAAATTGCTTTTCTATAAACTGCTGTACTACTTGCAGTATTAGTGTTATAGAATTGCAGATTTTTCTTCTGTAAGGTGTTTTTATTTTTGTATATGTGTATGTATCATATATATGACTTATGCATTTCTTGTGTTTTTGTTTTTCTTGTGAGCAATCTACAATTTAATTTGATAACATACTGTATAGGGATGTACTAATGAGAAGTACCTAGAAAAATCATAGCCAAAAAAACTGACTCATGGGTGAATAATGTGTTTTTTTTTTTTTTTTCCTTTCCTTATTCAGTGAAGTGTGGTCAAAATAATTCTTCATATTCACTTTCAGTTAGAATATAAATCCATAGATCTTTCACTAACAACTTATGCATTCATTATGAGTGCTATGAGTGCTAAAATATCTGAGCTAATATTTTAACTTTTCCACTGCAAGAGATTAAAAAGTATTTTTCCCATTTATTTGTTTTTTCCTTCATCCTCCCTTCTCCCTCCCTCCCCCCTTCATGTTAGTATTTTATTGAAACGTATGTGTGTATGGTTAAGTTGATGTTTCTTGTGTATTAATATAGATCCCTGATGACATACATTTCAGAAGTGTACTTCAGGGCTTGGAAGAAGATGTCAGAGGAGACCTTAGAGGTAATGCTATACTTGATCTCACAGTTGGATAACTTTGAGCTTCAAGGTAAATGTATGTGAATTCCCAACCTCAGGGAGGTTCCTAAGCAAGCCAAGGAAAAGGGTCTTTTCAACGTGCTCAAGGAATGAGTGAGTTGCACTGGCCACTGTGATTGCCCTGATTGCAGATAAGTGCTTTTAACTCAGCCACTGAAATACTCCCTTATACAAATTGCATTTAAGCAATGTGTTTTAAGCACAGTAGTTAGTTACCTGAGTAACATAAGCTTTTATTCAGCTTTTGCAGGTCTATATATATCATAGCATCATATAGCATCACATACTTATCTAGGTTTTATGAGTTTGCGTGGAAATGATCAAAAGCATAATCAGGACACCATAGCCCTGCCAGATTTCAGATGCCAAGTAACTCTCATGTACAACATGGAGATACTTTTGAATTACAAACTTTGCTCTGAGAAACTCTGAGAAACTAATGAATTATGTATACTAAAATTATGAAATCTACTTGTGCTGACCTAGCATGGAAAACTTTGAGTCAAGCAGAAGCCAAATAAGAAATAATATCTAACACTGTTTTCAGTTGTTTGTATTGGAGAAAAATGCAACTTGCTGGGTAGTGTACAATAATTACAATTATTAATATTTCTATATGTGTTTTCAATGTAGATACTTGAACATAACTGTATTCAGGACTTCATGCATCATGGAATACACCTTCCCAGAAACTCTTCTGTTCATTCTAAAGTGAGAGAGGTAAGTTCCTACAGGCCATGACATGAATTAGAGTGTCAAAATCAGATCAGTTACTAGAAAGGGTAAATTTTCCTCTTCATACTAAAATACTTTTCACTCTTTCCCTGATGAAGTCTAATCAAAGACATCAACGATCCTCTATTCATCTTGGGTTAGGTCTGTCATCCTGATGTATAAATAAGATGTACGTAGTCTCTTCATATGTTCAATTCACTCTTCCACTGTAACATTGTTTTTGTGGATTCCGTTCACAGATTTCCATGTCTAGACCTAGTTGTGAGCATTGTGACTTCAAAGCTGATACTTCTTTTCAAGTTGTCCAGTGTTTCAGATAGGGACTTTATTTTATATCAAGTTGCATGAGGTCCTTTATTTTTTCTTCCTCTGCATTTTTTTTGTTCTTTCTTTTATCTTCATAATCCTGTTATGAAAATAGTACAGATTTTTGCTACTAAGCACAGGCTTTTTTAAAGTTCAGAATCACAAGGAGTGTTGATGCTTGCTTTTTTTCAATGCATATATATGTCTAATTTTATTATTCTCCATAATATGCTAAATCCTCTTGTCCTTATGTAAAAGAAAGGTGGGTTTTTTGTCTCATCTACAACTCTGAAAACAATGTACAACTATATATAAGTATTTTATTTTTTTCCTTTGTAGATGCTGAGTTATTTTCATAAACAAAGTAAAGTTCGTCAGGGAGTTGAAGAAATGCTATATAGGTTGTATCAGCCTATCCTTTGGAGAGCGCTGAAGGTAATTGTCTTTTTCGCAGTACAGGGCTATCTTTCTCTAATGGTCAAGCTTTGGGTTCCCTTCTTTGTTCTGTTTTAATGGCTTTTAAAGTTAAGTGGCTAGGGGAAAAAAAAATCAAGTGTGTTGATCATCTTGATTGTATCAGAGTAACATTGCAAGTTTATGCTATCTAATTTCTGTGAGTAGAATTTGCTTATGTAATTCAGTTTGGTTTATTGGTTTGTAGGTTTCTATACTCCTTTCTTTTCTACAGGAGTCCTTTCTAGGATTGCAGTTGGCTGTGGGGCTAACGCTACTTTTGTTCTTCTCATCTTTTCAGGCAGGGAATGACTTGGAATATTTTATTCTGTTTTCCAAGATCTTTTTAATGCACAAATAATCAATGCTTCATTGATTAAGGCCAGAAATGTCCACAGGGTTATTTGCTCTGACGTTTTGTTTAATACTCTCCTTAGAATGTAACTGAATTAGATTATTTGTGCTGAAGCATTACTTAGAGATAATCCTTTTTTCTACTATGATGGTCTGTATGAACTGCATGCTGTTAAAGTGCCCTTATTCAAGCATTCAGAAAGAAATTTGTTTTCTAGCCCTTTTTGGGCAGGTATCAAAAATATTCATTGTAGATTTGCAGTAGAACCCTGGGAGAAAATCCTGATTTCAGAAGTGGTTGACATTTGTAACAGCAGCTGTTCATAACTTGGTTCTAATGCTGGAAGCATTAGAAGAATATTGGAGGTCCATCTCAATTTCAGGATTTTTTTTTCTGTCTGACAGCTTCTGCGTAGATTTACACTTAAGCACTTTAAGCTTGGAAGTTGAGAGGCATATTGATTTAATCATGGACTTTTTTTTTAATACATAGCAAAATGGTCCCTTTCTTGCAAACCCAGATTTTGGAACATTACCAAGAGGGTTGTATAAAACTAAACGTAGCAATTATATGAATCATACAATGATTCAGTGTGAGGGAAACTTTGCATTCTTAATGTATCAGTAAAATATTTGTGATCCTTAAAAAGAAACATGTGACTGAATCAACTTAGCAATTTATTTTCACATATACCACTGACTTGGGTTTGACTTTAGTATAGATACTTAATTTTTCTTTTTCATGTGCCACTGAGCTGTTTGACTTTTTAAGAGGATGATTTCTGTAACTTAGATACAGACCTAAGTAGGGAAAACTCTAAGCTTCCCATCTAGTAAGGAATCCTCTCCTAAACTTGAAATTGCAGTTTAATTTTAGATAAATATCTTATTCTGAAAGACTAGCCACATAACAGAAGGGAAAATCACGGAATGGCTTCTTTACCCTTCTGTTTTGTAAAAATGGGAAAATACATCAGTTGTTATAAAATCATACAATCCTTAAGGTTGGAAGGGACCTCTAGAGATTATCTAGTCCAACCCCCGCTGCACACACAGGGTCACCTAGAGCATGTGGCTGCGCCCAAGCGGGTTTGGAAGATCTCCAGAGAAGGAAAATCCACAACCTTTCTTCGCAGCCTGTTCCAGGGCTCTGTCACCCCCACTGTTAAGAAATTTTTCCTTAAGTTCCTGTGGAACTTTTGATACTTCAGTTTGTGGCTATTTCCTCTAGTTCTATCAGTGGCCACCACTGAAAAGAGGCCGGCCCCTTTATACGCACTGGTCAGATCCCCCCTCAGCCTTCTCTTCTCCAGGCTGAACAGACCCAGCTCTCTCAGCCTTTGCTCATAGGGCAGATGTTCCAGGCCCCTGATCATCCTGGTAGCCCTGCGCTGGACTCTCTCCAGCAGCTCCACATCCCTCTTGTACTGGGGAGCCCAGAACTGGACACAGTCTCCAGAYGTGGCCTCACCAGGGCTGTGTAKAGGGGGACGATCACCTCCCTTGACCTGCTGGAGACGCTCTTCTTAATGCACCCCAGGAACCCGTTGGCCTTCTTGGCCACCAGGGCACACTGCTGCCTCATGGTCAACTTGTCGTCCACCATGACACCCAGGTCCCTCTCTGCGGGGCTGCTCTCCAGAAGGTCAGTGCCCAGCCTGTCCTGGTGTCTGGGCTTATTTCTCTCCAAGTGTAGGACCTTGCACTTGCCCTTGTTGAACTTCATGAGGTTTCTCCCCACCCAGTTGTCCAATGTTCAGGTTATAAGAATAAAGGAATTGTATGATGGTCTGTTTTGAAACTGCCTTACATCTTTCTTAATAAACTGCTCATTTTGCAAATCTTTTATGTTGCATAAGCCTTGTGACTTCTACTTAGATGTTTATAAAATATTTTAACTTTATAAGCCTTTACAATATTGGCCCTTATATAACTTATTTAGATTTGCTTATATCTTTATTATGGAAAGTGCATGTTATGTACAAGCACAGTGGAGACGGCTGATGCAGTGATTGATTTTTAATGTAAGAAGCTATATAAATATAAAATATGGTTAATCATTATGAGATAAATAGTGTTTAAGCATTTTTTTCAAGCTTAAAAAACAAGAACTGCCCTTTCAAGAGGTAAAGCTGTTGATAAAGTTGCCATTAGAGACCTTTTTTTCTGCAAAAGGTTAATATTTCATAAAAATTTGAAGTTAATTTCAGTATTGTGAGGTCTGGTGGAACTTAAAGCTCTGAAAATGAACTGAAAAAAAGGGAAAATTTTTGTATAAAAAAGGGAAAGTGTATAAACTTTTTTTTGTATATAAAAAGGAAAGTTCTGAAAAATCTACAAGATACACAAGCATAAAGCTAAAGAATCGTTATCCATTTAAATAGCCAAAGGCTCCTCTTCTATGTGCAATTTAGTGTAGAATAAAATAGCATGTGATTTTTTAAAGTCCCCATGGAATTTATTTCTAACTCTGAGGACACTTATTCTGTAATAAAAGCCTGAACATGCAAAGACATTTGAGATAAATTCCAATTAATTAAGAGTAGAATTTTAAAATATGGGTACACAATTCAGAATTAAAATGAGCTTAAGAGAATTCAATGCAATGCATATAAAGTTTATCAAAACTAAGTTTCTGAAATTGCCCTGGTAGGTGAGGTCTAGGTTATTGCACAAAAGCATACTTTAAAATAATTAATTTTCATAGGAAACACTAGTGTGAAAGAGCTATTTCCCTCTCATTTTATATATAGACTTGCTCTGCGTTAGTTTCTCAATACAGGCAAGCCCCAAGTTAAAAGTTTTTCTTCCTTTTAATGGGACATAATTACAATTCCTGACTGCTTGGACCCAAAATCCAAATGGAATTTTTCATTCCTCTTCTTTCCAAGCGAGCCTCTCTTCCCCTCCTTCCACGCAAGCCAGGCTGCCCTCATCGCACTGCTCACATCTTAAATATAGGGTGGTTGTGTGGTTAGATCTCAGCTTTCTTCTGAGATGACTTAAACTTCTTTTATTTATTTATTTTCTTTAATCTCTTTACCTGCTATCTGTTCTCTATCCCTTATTGTGCTTAAAAGGGAAATTACTTTTCACTATTGTGTGTCTAAACACACTTTGTTTTCTTACATTTGCAGCTCCACAGGCAGGAAAATGGGTAGTGTAGTACACTAAAAAAAGCTACAAATGATCCAATATCTGAGGGTTTTGAGGCTTATTTTGATATTTGGAGGGCTGCCCAGAGCTCAGAAGACAGTCCTATTATTCATGTGCATAGATGCAGAACTGAATATGCTCTTTAGATAAGCTGTTTTCTGGCCTTGCTGGTACCTAGTCTAAAGGTACTTCTTGAAGAAATAGACTTGAACTCCTCACATAAATTCAGATATAGATGAAGAATTTATCAGTGAAAACTTTACTTGAATTCAGGGTTCTGTATCTCAAAGGGAAGCATTAATGATTAATACCAAAGCATATATGTATAGTGACTAACTGCTTTTAACTTACTCGGAGTTAAAAAAGACTCCCTGACTCTGATTTCAGGAACTTTGATTAAAAAATAAGGCTTGATAAATATAGAGAAGTTACAGAAACAAAGGATTTTTTTTTTAACCTTAAGCTCCTGCCCGCTGAGTAAAACCTGAGTCACTAGTAGAATTAGGTTTCAAAACACATTGATTCTTAAACTTTCCAAACCCAAGATTTATTAGAAGAAATAAAACTTTGCCAGAAGTGTTGAAAGCATTATATGCCAGATATGCTTTTTGATAATAAAAATCTCTACCTACTGAAAACTGTCTTTTTCCCTGGCTTTATGACAGGCCAGGAACTCAGAAGTTCGCTCGAATGCAGCGTTCCTGTTTGTTGATGCTTTTCCTATCCGTGATCCCCATTTTAACACAGAGGAGATGGACAATGAAATTCAGAAACAGTTTGAAGAACTTTTTGTAAGTTTCAATGTGTGTTTTAAAAATGAAACTTTTAGCAAGGTTAAGTCAAAAATAAGCTGTTGTTGCGGTTATAGAAGTTGTGGAGTTTAAGTGAAGTGTGTATATGCAGATGTGGCAAACAGAAAATACAAAAGGAGAAAAATACTCATAAATACTCTAAATACTCATGAATGCAAGACTTACTAGAAGGTGTGGAGGTTTTGTATTTTTTTTGTTAGTGTTTTAAAAGTTGAAATTCCAAAATTACTGAAAATCTTGGACAATGTTTTATTTTGAAATTTAGTTTACTTCATAATAAAATACCTTGGGGAAATATTAATATTATACTTCTTTCATAAAATGACAATTTACATAATGCTCAAAAGACAATAGTAATATTTGCTCATGATAGTTTATTGTTAAATAGTGGTGGAGTCGCACTAATATACTCCCATTTTTCTTCTCTTGTTTGTTTTAGAACCTCTTAGAAGATCCTCATCCAGTTGTCCGCTCTACAGGGATACTTGGAGTTAGTCAGATAACATCCAAATACTGGGAGATGATTCCCCCAACAATTCTTGCAGACCTTTTAAAAAAACTGATTGGAGAGCTGGCATATGATGTAACATCTGCTGATGTTCGCTGCTCTGTTTTTAAAGTAAATCTTTTCTGTAAATTTAAAATTATTGTCACTTTTTGCCTTTTACTTGACTAACTCAAGGAAATGACTTAATCTGCCAAATTATTGATGCGATAAAATTCCTATAAATGATATATACGTATGAACTAATGCCCTTTACAAGGGTTAATTGTTCTATTTTGTGATTCCCAGCCACTTTGAATCTCTGTTCCCATACTTGCTGATAAATTTAAGCTGTTGATAATTCGATCATCTTATCTATTAGAAATTACGCTTTCATTTAAAAATGCGTGCAAATGGGTCCCAATATGTTTCTATTTCACTAGGTTTAACCCATGCCTTGGTGTGCAGGTTTACATCCTGATTTTGGAGCCCACTGTTTCTTAGTTTTCAATGAACACACCTGGAGACTGTGTCTCTGGAAAAGCCTTTCCCTACTGCCTCTTCTTGATTTAGCCCCAGAAGTGCCGTAATCCAGTTCAACAATATTAGTTACCTCTCTTTGTAAGTTGCTCTTTGGATATTTTTAGTTAGCATTTCTTTCTCTTGCAGTGTCTGCCAATAATTTTGGACAACAAACTAAGTCACCCATTACTGGAGCAGCTCCTGCCAGCAGCCAAGCACAGTCTCCATGACAATTCTGAGAAAGTGCGGGTGGCTTTTGTGGATATGCTGCTCAAAGTTAAGGCTACCAAAGCAGCTAAGGTAGGATAAATTGCATGATAGGTAACAAACAGAAGATTAAAACCACAGTATTTATTTTAAAACTATGTATGTTTGACTGCTGCAGTAATCCTAAAAGGAGAAAAAACATGTTTAATGTAGTCATAATAGTATGTCATAATAATGTAGTCAGAATTTTAATGCTGGACTTACTCTTTTTATATATTTAAGCATATAAATGATGCTTTATTTTTAAGTTTTGTGAAATGCTCTCTTGGTTATTTCTCTCCATTTTAGGTTTTTTGTTTGGGTTTGGGGGGGTAGGGGTGGGGAACAAGGAAGTTCTTCCAAAGGTAGGTAGAAACCTGAAAGCGCTTTTTTAGTTATTTCATAAATTCTACTGACATTATGGTGTTCACAGAGAATATTTATAAATTGATTGGTCCTAGTGTCATGGTCAGCTTGCAACTTTCTATATTTCTCAAAGGAGCTACCCATAAGAAAAACCTGGATATTTTTAAGGAAGAGATTTTTATAGAGAGATCGGAAAGTTTACTTTCTAGTTGAGATATATGGGGGAAAGAAAAATATTTATTTCCTGGCTTGGGATTGTTGTGATTTGAAGTAGATCTAGTGTTTCTCTGCACCTAGGCACTTTTCCCAGCAGCTGCTGGTATCATAAGCTCAGGTCACTTTCTCCCTTTTTCAAAGCCTAACATCTTTATGGACTCGCCCTCAGAAGACAAACAGTAGAAGTCATGTATGTAGGTGGAGGTTTTCTTTTTATAGTATCTTTTTCTATATTTTAAAAACCTTTCTCTATTCTGTGGTGGACCCTTAGGGAGATGCTACTCAGCCCACTGGCATTAGCGTGCCTTTGGCTTCTCCTGGTCCACAATATCAGTGGCTTACTGGTTTCACTTTTATATTTTCAGTCCTGGCTTTGTATTTTGCTAAGCCTGCTTTTTTTAGGACATATGCTAGGCACATACATACCTGTGACTTCATATAGTGCATCTGTCGTTTAGGGGGGAGTTAAGCCTTGAACAAATGCTTCATTTGGCAGAGTTTTAAGCCTGCAGCACCCAAAGAATATATCTCTAAAACAAGAGTTACCTGCTTGCCAAATATACGCATTTCACCTAATAATAATCTATAATTTCACAGGTACTCTGCAATTTTTCCTGTACCAAGGATTAACTCTTCACAATTTATGACTCCAACATCAAAAAGTTGACTGCAGTTTGCTGGTATATGGTTTAACAGACCAGCATCTACAGTCATGAACTGATCTGATATTATTATTAATATATACTAAGATACAAATAAGCTTAAGGCTATAGAAATGCTTACGCTGTTTGGGTAGATATTATTTTGTGCAGGAAACTGTGAAAACACTGTTAATAATGTTAATTCCTCCTCTCTCTCTCATTTTTTTTTTCTCTTTCTCCTTCCCCGTAACTTTCTCAATTTCTTCTCTCTTTAAAAAGTTCTGGAAAATCTGTCCCATGGAGCATCTTCTGGCTCGTCTGGAAGTCGATTCACGGCCTGTGTCGCGGCGCGTCGTGAATCTCCTGTTCAACTCCTTCTTCCCCGTTAACCAGCCTGAGGATGTGTGGTGTGAACGCTGCGTTACTCTCATCCAGATGAATTCAGCAGCAGCTCGAAAGTTCTATCAATATGCTTATGAGTATACTGCCCCCACCAATATAGGTAAAGTACAAAACATCTAGAAATACCATTTTCACACCACATGATTGCTCCATAGTTCACGGTTTTTGACATTCTCAACACCTGTATTAAATGCTGGTAGTTTCAGTTCTGGGTTTTGTCAACAATGAAGAAAGCAAAAATGATTCTTTAGTTCTGGACTACACTCACTCGCCTATGTCCTTGTTTGATCTCTCTTTCTTCTTCCACCTTAAAACTGTTTAAGCCAATGAAGTGAAAATATTTCTAATAATCTGATTATCTGGGATGGATAGTATTTTAAAGTTGCTCAGAGAAGATCTAAAAAGCCCTCTTCCACATTAAAAGTGACAACACTACATACCACAGCAATCACCTTTTGGAAAAGACTTCTGTTTTGCCAAGTAAAATGAACATTTTTATTTCCAATGAATCCTGATACCATAAAAAAAGTAATTTGCATGGACTACTTAGGCACAAAGTTCAAGCCATTTCCTCTTTTCCAATCCTCACTTGTGGCAGGTAGTTTTGGAATAACATGTGCTAATGTAGTGCGCCAAGTCATTTTTTTCAGTGCAGGTGGCAACCCTTTCTCATTTATTCAAGGAGAGTTCCTCATTAAGGACTGCAGTGATTAGGCCTCTGCATCTTTCATTAAATAATTGGGATTTACATCTGAGGAGATGTGTTTTGAATATTGTTCATTAAATGAATAACTATGTCAGATGAATGTGGAAAGTTCCTCTGGGCCCAGTTTGCATGTGAGCCTTTGTTAATGTAGCTATTTCTTTTTTTTAAAATCTGCAGACTGTCTTAACAATGAAATTACAGAAAGTACCATTTCTACTTGATATCAAAGTATATAAATTATTTTCCATATCTTTTTTTACTAAGAAATTTGGTATATTTTTTTGCTGACTATATCTGGTTCAGTTGCCCAACTATCAGAATGACAATCTGGCATTACATGCAGAAGTTATTGCTAATAACATTCTGAATAAATAGTAAATATCTAATTGGTTGTTCTTGTATTTATATGTAGCTAAATTGATGCTAACTATTCGGCGCTGCTTGAATGCCTGCATCCAGAAGGCAATGAAAGAGAGTTTCCATAATGATGATGATGGTGGTGGTGGTGGTGATGATGATGAAAAGGAAAAGGAGAACATAAGTGTAAGCAAGTTTACTTTATGATAAGTTAGAACAACTTCTGTGACATGGATTTTGAGGTAGCAGTTAATGAGAAACCGAAAGTCAGAAGGAAAGCACTTGTGCATTCCGGGATTTCAAAGGGGAAAACCACCACTGTGGTGTTTCCATGCTCTGTATGATGGTAATTAGGTGAAGTAGCTCGGATAAGCAAGAAGGAATGAGAGCCATGAGCACTTTTCCAATTCTAGTGCTTCATGTACACTTGTTTGACTTTGCAATCAAATGTATACAGAAGAAATAATGTAGCAAAATCACCAGAGCTCTATGTGTGTTAAGAATAAGTAAGTTTGTTCTGCAACAAAGCCAAAAGCATTTTGCAATACATGGATTTTCATTCTTTTAAGCCTTATTATAACCAACGTTAAGATCTTGAAATGCAAAGGGTAATATCATCTGTTTGTATTTCAGACATTGAATAATGTGTTGTCAATAAATGACATGAACTCCATGGCAAGTTTGTTGGAAATCATTGTAATTCTTTGGAGAAGTATTCACAAGTCACTAGATCACAATGAAGATGCCAAGGAATATGCCATCAGAAAATTTGCTGCTGTACTTCCTGAATATTTTAAAGTATTTAAGGTAAAGAAAACATAGATTTAAATTTAAATATTCCTGTAATGGCTTCATGTTTTTTCTATGTTTTCTTTTTTAAGTGTTTATTTCTCAACTGTTTTCATGGGATTAAGTGTTGTTTTTTGTTGTTACCATGATCCATAAGCAACAGCAAGTTTTTGAAATTCCACAAGTGAGTAAAAGCCATTCTCTAATTCCCAAGTCTGAACGATCAACTATTATTTAAATAGTCCACACAGAGTTTTTATTGCAACAAATAGCTCTTCTTGTAGTGTCTTCAAAGGTAATTTTATTTGAATATGTTCGTGGTGCGGATACAGAGAGACTGTTCCTAACGAATCTTTTTCATGGATCGGTGTCTATATAGTCCTAGTGAGATTGTGATGGTACCTTATCCTGTGATATATTTGAACAGCTTCTAGTGAATTTTTGCCTTGCCACTGTTACCCAAGCTCCTCTTCAGAGTCTTTTTTCTTTCTTTCTTTTTTTTTTTTTTTTTTTTTAATACATTTCAAAATGGAATGGATGTTAATTGAAGACCCCACTTACTTGCAGAGAGGTTAGATGGTGTCATGGTTCTGCCACTGTTAGCCACTATTGGGATATATGAAAGCTGGAACAATTCTTTCTTTTACAAAGGTTTTTAATGTAATGGAACCATAAATAACTCATCGTAGTTGTTTGTAATGGGAAGGAAAAAAGGTAAATCCTTACATTTGAGTTAATGTAATAATACTTATTTTCAGTACGTGTTAAATTTCCATGTATGTATGTGTTTGCACATGCACATCATAAAGCAGAAGTGTTTATCCTAGGACGATCGTTGTGTTGTTCCATTGATTATCCTGGCATCCTTTATGCCACCTGCTGCGATTCCTACGTTCAGGTACTATTTGCTTATTTATTTATTTATTTAAAGCCAAAACATCAGTGAAAAGAAATCTCTTGTTAATTATTTGTTAATTTTCTATTCTATTAGTGCATTAAATGTCCTAACGATGAATTAATCTTCTAAATACATCTTACAGTACAATCTCTATGGTGCAAATGTGCTTGAAGCCATTTGCAAGGGTTATTTGGTATTAGTTTATTTAGTGGTTGAATCTTTTCTGCGCTAGTGTGTGTGTGTGTGTGTTTGTATCTGTATATATATTTATGTGTGTCTATATTTTTATTTATTTATTTGAAAGCTGTAGTGTGATTTCGAAACTCAGAAATCTTGACAATGGAGCTGGTGAGAGCAAATATTCCACCCTAATAGACTGCATATGTCGCTGGGGTCAAGTGGGACATATTATGGAATTAGCCTGTGACTGGTTGTCTGATGTGCTAACCCCAAGAAAGGTGAGCTTAAATCAATGACATTTATAATACCTTTATTTGGCTTTTAGAAGGAACTTTTTTAATACTGTCTTATTCTCTTTTAGAAGTATTTGTCATTAAACACCCTGTGTGATACCAGTTCTGTGCTTCCCTCTCCTTTAGAGCACTAAAACACCCGAACGACGAGTGCGCATCCACATAGCGCAGGAATCGAAGCCAGAATTAGCACTTGATTACATTGAATATTTATTGACTCATCCAGTTAATCGAGGTTGCCTGCTTGCTGTTCCTAAAAAGAAACTGAACCAGCTGTTGAGACTTCTCGGTGCTGCAAAGGTAGTGTTGCCCTTGCCATATATAGTACTCACAAAAGAGTGCTTAACACTTCGTGTTGCCTGACTCCAACTGAAGGTCTGCAAGGATCCAAAGTTAATTTGATTGTAATAATTTCCAAACAGAAAACTAGGCTACTTAAAGGCAAGACCAACTTTTCCTTTTCATCTATATTTAAGATAAATATTCTAAAATAGAATTATACTAATTCATATTGTTTGCGACTGTCAGATTTTAATATGTTTATCATTTTTAAGTATCTCAAGAGTTTGTGATCTAGTGCTGAACATTATTAAGGGATCTGACTTTCAACATATGTATGAGTCTGAAAATAAGGCTTCCTTAATATGTCGTAAGAAAACACTTCTTCACTGGGCAAGTTGATGATCACTGGAAGAAGTTGTCCAAAGAGTCTGTGGAGAGTCCGGGAAGCCTTTCGGGATGTGGTCCTGGGCTGACCTGTTTAAGCAGGGGCCATTGACCAGGTGCTCTGCAGGGTTCTGCTACAACCACAGTTATCCAGTGATTCTGTTAGTTTTGGCATTGCAAAGCAAAAGTACTTGAAAATATGCCTGTTTCTGGGGAAGATATATGTGTGTGTGTGTGTGTGTGTATATATATATATACACACTTTTTTTTCTTTTGTTTTAAACTTATGGACATAGACAAGAAATGTTAGAAAGTATTTTCTGAAAATGCCTAAATGTGATATTACAGGAAGTTCTTGGCTCAATTCTGAAAACAACTGATACAAGTTCTGGTAGCTGCAGTCAAACTGGCCTAAGAGCATTCAGCCTCTATTGCAGGTTGAGCATTCATCTTCAGAACAAGGTATAGTTGTGCCTTTCCAGTACAAACTAAAGCTACAGCTGACGTTTTAGCTGAAACTGAAATTGGTAAAACTTCTCTATTTTTTTTTTTCCAGTTTTCTGAAGAAGGAAAAGATTACCTTGCACTTCTGGAGGAGACAGGCACTTGGATAAAAAGTCAGATTGTACCTTTTATACTAGCAAGTGGTCAAGAGGATGGCATTTCAGAACACCGTAGTATTTCAGAGTCAATTATCCAGGTTAGAGATTTCTTGCTACTTAAATTGTACTGCTGCCAGTCATATATGTAGGAAGGGCAACAGTTGTGCAGCGCTTAGAGTGCACTGGAATATTTGGAACCCAGTAAATCAAGGAAGGAATGAAACGCTGCTGATTGTTCTGAGGATAGGTTTGTGGTTTTGCTGTTGGCATCATTGCTTAAAAAGTCTCAAGCTCTTTTAATGGCATTTAGCTATGTCATATCTCTTACATTTCTTAAAGCATAAAACTTTGTGTTTAAGTGTCACCAAACTTCAGGAATGTATGGCTTTAGAAAAACTACCAACAAACTACAGTGCATGGTAGGTTACTCTAGCAATTAAATGAAGTATGTGGAGTTGCCAATGCCTGGTTCTTATCTAGATTTTTTGCACCTAATAGTGCATAACGTCTTTTCAATATGTCTGTTGAAGTGAGGAAGTGTTTTATGCTTTAAACTTTTAAGTGAGAATCGTCACTGAAACTTTCTAGCATGCAATGTAACCCATGCCTCCTGAATTGCAGGTGACTTTTTTCCCCCCCATCTCTCATATTAAATGGGAGTAATGCTTATGCAGTTTAAGGAAAAACACATTAACACAGAGGGAAGGTTGTGGCAGAAATGCAGTTTTGAAAATTCAAAGAAATCAGTTACCCAAAACCAGGATGTAGCGAAGTGGAAGGTCAGCCCCATCCATTCTTCTATAGCAAAGGTCCTGGAAGGGAGTTCCCAGAACCACTGCTGCTGCCTTCACAGCACTGAATAGCACAGCAGAGGACAACTCTGAGGAATATGAAATGAAGATGATACTTTACTGATAGAAAAAACATAGGCAGTTATCACCAGTAAACACACCTGACATCTTACTTGACTAGCTAATAATGGAACACCGAGTGTGTTTTATTAGTAGAACTTAAATCCCATTTGCATCGTTATTTCCAATGTTCAAACCGAAGTGTCAAGACTGATATGTCTTATCTGGAAGTCCAGGCCGCCTGAAGCCTCCATAATAGGCCACATTCTTGTTATGCAGCTCCTATGATTTTTTTTAACCTTTCTCTGTGCTCTGTTTTATTGGAATAAGGCATTTGGAGTGTCTGTTTAGTAGCAAAGCTGCTAATCAAAGAGCACAATATGTCCATCTCAAAATGTCCTTAAAATACACAAGAGTTACAGTTGCTTCTTTCATACAGTAGAAGGGGATTAGGCTGTTTCACGTGTGGTGGCTAGGGATGGGGTAGGATTCCGTTGTTTGTGCTCCTAAATGCACTTGTCCACTGCAGTCATGGTGCTTTTATCTTCTGAGAGAGGATAGACACGTGCTTATTCTGCTAGACTGTGGGACTAGTATCATAGAAAAACTGAAGTGCTGTGGGGTAGGATTTCTTATGTATAACTTGGGCTGAGACTTCTGGAATATAGACATGAAAATGAATAACAATTGATGAAATGAATGGATGTTTCTCCAGTATAATTATAAAGAGTATTTTTTTTTCTGTTTTTTTTTTTATATTTTTATATTCTTTTTCTTACTTATTATGACTGAAGGGCAGCTTTATATAATTCCTTTTTTTTTTTCTTTTTTTTTTTTTCCTAATAAATTTTTGCATCTCTCTTCTAGGCCTATTTGACAGTCTGTAAAGATGTCATAATGGTTGGCCTCGGAAATCTTGAGTTTCAAGCTCGCCTTTTAGATGTGGCACTCCTGGTAATACAGTCAGGTAAGTTATTTTGTGCTAATCTCAACATCTCTGTATATGCTTAACTGATTTTTCGTACATCATAATCCAAAAGGGTAAAAGCATTCATTCTTATGTGTCATAAAAATGGTATTTACAGCTTCAGTTTGCATTCATAATATGGTCAAAAGTTATGGCAGCATTTTGGGAAATCTGACAAGAAGCAGAGAATCAGTCCAGAACCCTGTTCCTATTGATTACTAGGGTTTCTTCTTTGCTCTTACCTGCCACTTGCTACTTGTTGTTTATTTATTTTTTTTTAGGGTGTTTTAAAAGATAACATTTTAGAGTTATTGATATTCGGTCCACCTTTGGAAATTTTTGCCTACAGTATGGACAGAATTACAGCTCTGTTCCTGAAGAAATCCACAAATAGAATCCCTGTGTTCTACTGTGTTTTTCATGTATGCAGTACTTGATAGAATATTGATTACGCTGTATGAAAATTTCAGCTACAGGCCTCAGAAGCTAGATGTGATATCATCTACACTTGTAAACTGCTGCTGTTCTTGTACCTGAAGAATATCTTATTAAAATTTTAATATTGTGTCATTTATCTTCTTCTCTAGAGAGAGGTGGCTTTTGTATTCCGGTACTGCTGTGTGCTCTTAAAGAGATTATTGAAGCTTCTTTGGCCCAGAATATTGACCCGGATGAAATGGCAGATCTGCTCAGTGCTGTGCAGACCCTTTTCCAGAAAGTTTTAGAGTGTGTTGCACGTAAGCTCAAGAAACAGCAGGAAGAAGGGCTTCAGGTACTATGCTACCCTTAAAACCATTATCCGTGTGCAGATGAATCCATCATTTCCACTCAGACTGAACAATGTTATACTTTGATTTTGACATTTTGAATTAAAACTTTTATTTTTATTATTCCTATAGACAGCTGATTATATTTTCAATTATTTTTTCTAACATAATGCTGTTTTTTGGACTCCAAAAGCATTCTTTTTTAAAACATTGTTGATTCTAGCAGTGATGGAAAAACTATTAAGCCAGAACAATGCGTGATTCAGAGCAACCTTAGCACTCATACTTTATTAACCTTATCTGTAATTAAAATGAACTATGCTCTATGCTAAGCAAAAAATTCAATTACATATATTACAGTCTGGAGAGGTGGCATTTGTGCCTCTCTCAGCCAGAATTCCCTAAGCATTAATATATGGATTCTGTCCAAAAGTTCTTCAAACCCTCCCATCTTCACAGAAAGGTCAACTGCTTGCATTTTGTAGCAGACTCTAGATAGTGGTGGTATGAGTGGATAATTCTGGAAAATCTTAGGATCTGCTTTTCAGGACTTGTGGAGAAAAATCTTTCTAATGGTTCAAACATTGCTTTAGGGAATCTCTCTGTGTTCCTCAAATTTAGAGCTGTTGACATGCACTGCTCATTTCCTTCCTGTATCATAGGTGACTAAAATAAAACAAGAGCTTTAAAACTGTGTTCTGTACTTCCTCAGATAGTAACTTGCTGAAATATTTTAATTACATTCAAACAATCTCAAACAGCTGATCTGTTTTTCTTTGGTTTTAGCTGATTCACTCTCTCCAAAGGCCTCTTGGCGAATTCCTACACACGGTCCAGTGCTGGCATTCAACTTGCACAGCACTTCACAAGGGTGTGCTCTCAACCCTCCTAGCTGCAGTAGTAGCAGAGATAAATCATACACTGGAGAAGGTAAAGTCCGTGCTAACTTTTCTTTCCGTTTGTTACCTTTGTTATCTATCTTTGTGGTAACAAACATATCTTTGTTATGTTTGTTACCACTGTTATGTAAAGTATTTTTAGAAATTATATGTACGTGTGTAAGCCTGCAGACACAAAGGTTACTTATTCCTGTTGAATAGGCTGTGTCTTCATTTATTGTAACCAAAAATTCATTAAACGAGACTTTCATCCAGAACTGTAGGGAATACTTCCTTTGCACATACTAATTGTTCTAGTTGTAGCCTTCCTAATTGAAATTTGTTTTGCTTGTTTTGACACTGCACAATTAGATTAAGCATATTAGAAAAATACATGTGACCATGTGTAGCTACTGAAATGTAGACATGATTTAATGTTTTCTATATCCAGATATTTCTAAATTTGTGTGAGTTGTTGACTTTTTGGTTTTCAGGGTTCCAGCGAAGGAAATGTAAATATACCAAGGACTATTTCAGAATTCCCTCCTCTCTCCAACAGTTTAATGGTCATAATTATGAAGTCAGTCGATGTTGTCAGGTAAATGTTTCTCCATTAATTTCTGCAAGATAATACAATCAAGAAAAACTTGTCAAGAAAAACTTTATTTCTAAATTCAAGTATAAACAAGATACTCTTAGTAGTTACTAAATTCACCTTCAGGTACTTCAGGGACTGGTGGTCCCTTTCTCTTGATTTATTGCTTGTAAATCTTCCTTTGGGGGAACGGATGCCCTGCTGGCTTGTTTCTTGGCTTCATCTGAAAGTGCTCATTATTCACCAGACTGTTCATCTTGGTTTCTTTAAACGTATTTCTTAGATTGCTTCTGTCATAAGATATATATAATCATAAAATACAGAGGCATCTTTCAATACAGAGGCATTCAGATGACAGAATATTTACCAAAAATAGCATTAATTCTTTAACCTGAAAATCTGCAATATAGTGACAATTGTACTAACGGGTGTATACAAATCACAACTCAAAATATATTTAGTATCTCAGACACTTATCCATAGTATAATCAAGTGCCTTATTTCTTAAACTGTTTGTTAGGTTTCTCTAAGTTTAGTACCCTTTGAATAGATGTTAAACTTGACAGGTGTTTGTATCCCATTTTACTTTGCATGATTATCCCTCTACCAGAATTATTTTGAATTATCAAAGAGCCTTAAAAGCCCTGTGTTCTCCATGGCTTGGCCTAACTCCTATTCTTAACTAGTCTTAACTCTTCTGTCAGGCAAAGAATGTTCCTTTCTCTGCTGTCTCAAGCTTATTTTGTTTGTCTTTTGTCTTAAATACTTTCCTAATTCTAGTCGATGCACCCAGACTTCAATACTTGAAGTCTTCCTGCAGAACAAGGCTCTGGAAGCTGTGTCTCCTAATCCGAATCTTGGTTTTCTCTCAGTCAGCTCTCTGTGCAGGTTCTGCCTCAGTTAAGGTGTTTCTTTGGGCTGTTCTTTTGAACAGAAAGTCAGTGAATTCTCTGAAGCAGCTTCTTATAGTGGTCAAGAAGAGTCTCGTCCATTCTTGAAGGGGAAAACTGCTGTTTTGTGCCAGGTTTCTATGAGCACTCTGAGAAGATTATCTTCTTGTATCTACCTTTTCGATCCAAAGATCACCCAAGTTAGGTTATAATACATATCTGGATGCAGTGATGCCTCAGGATGAAAACTGCTTTTAATAATAACTATTTCAATTATAACAACAGCCCAAAATCAAAGATTCTAGTAGTAAATCAACATCTCATTTATATCTCAGAAATCAGTAGCATTATCACTGTTTTCCATAGCAACGCCAGAACTTTGACACTAAAGTTTCCAATATAAGCTTCTAAACTGCAAAAACAATCATCTTGCACTGAGTTCTGCCGTCGATTTGGGGTTACTATTTAAACAATCTGTAGCATTGAATCTTGGCTCCCTTTCTGATCATAATCCTGAGGGACTTGGCATTATCTGGCTGCTTGTGTCCTTCACTGCCCTTCAGTGGGAAACTATCAGTGTCTGAAACAAAGCATTTCTCTCACATATCTTTTTGGAAACAACAAGTTGTTCTGAAATATTCTTATTATTAATCCTTGCCATAAAGCAACATGGCTGCATAGATCCTGTAATAAGTCTCATTATAAATTAATAAATGTAAAGTGTTCCTTAATGGAACTAAATAGTATTAAACTATACACTGAAACAAACTGAGTTAATAAATTTCTGTTTAACTGTAGCATGAGTAGTTTTTTCACAGGCTGGTGAAAACCCTATAAGTTTTTCATTTCTGATTACTGCTCCCTGTTCTGTGTACAAACACTTTGATTCTGCTCCCAAGCAATTTACCATTCTGCCAACTCTACAGCCCGGGTAGCTGCAGAGGAAGCCGAGTAATTTAGTGTCACCCAATAAATCCTGTCTTGTCCCACGTGGTATCTGCTGAAGCTGGAGGTGGCAGAGAAGCACAATCAGCTGTTGTTCTAATCACAACAACCTGTTCAATTTTGGAAAAAAAAACTTTTACAAACTATCTATATTTTTCTTTATAGATCATTTTTAAATGAATTAATGGAGTGCCTTATTTCTGAGGAAATCGAAGGGATTTTTAGTCTTATGGCTACTGTCTGCATTGTTATTTTAATTAAAGGTCAGTCAAGCTATTTTTGTCCAATAAAACTTTGTTTTGATATGCTATGTTTTGAAAACCAAGTTCATATAAAATTTAGGAGACCATTTTCATCATTAGCTGTTAAGTTACCATCTTTATCCAAGATTTAAAGTCTGTTACTTTTAAATGATGCTGCTAAGCTTTGAACTCTTCATCTTTGTGAACTGAGTTTAAAAGCAAAACCATTTTTTTAAGCTAGTAAGACCTATCTGTATCTTCTGGTTTGCAGAATTACCCTGTAATTTGGAAAGCATAAACTGCTTCCTTAACTCGGGGAAATGAAAATCTGAATTAGTATATAGTTTCTTATTAAAGAACGTTTATTGATAAAATAATGTTCTGTGAAAATATACAGGTTCTTTTCTTGCTAAATCAATATTTTCAACATAATGATATTTCAAATAGGTAAGCACAAAACTTCGCTTCTCAAGGATGTTGCACCTGCCATTCGGAGGAGGCTGATAACGTGCAAAGAAGCTGCCACAGAAGGATCTAGCAGCACTGAAAGGTAAATAAATGTGCTATAGGAAATGAACACTGACCTCTCCTCGCCCCTCTCTGCAATAAATGGCTGAAGCAATTTGCTTAGGGGATTCTGGATGGCTGCAAGGTTTAAAATGTGGGGGAAAAAGTCTTACAAGATACTGTGTCCAGCACAGGATTAAATTTCCTCCCCATACATTAGCTGTTCTGATCATAATCTTTACATATTGAGTATGTTTTTTCTATGTTTAATTTGAATCTTACAACTTGTCCTGTATATTGCAGTACTCTGAAATGCAGTTAGGAGCATTTATAGAACAAAGCAAGTCATCTTTTCATCATTTCTTATTCTTACATCAACAGCAATGTTAACTTTTTTCCCCCCACTCTGTCTCCCTAGAACAATAAACAAATCAATGCTAAAAGAAGGCTATGAAGAAGTTCCTCAATAGTTAGGTTTTGCTTAATTAATTTATACAGTGTGTATAGCTTCTCAGACAGGTACAGTGCTGGCCCAGGTGGGGCCACTAGTGTTTCTGACATGCCGTTTGTAGTGCTGATATAGAACTAAAACGTGATTATGCACAGCCTGAAATATGCTCTGTTACTTGAGAACTCTTTTATCATTGTCTTTTCCTACTCATAAACCAGCAAAATCTGACGATAGTAGCTTTTTTTAATTCATACTCTAATAGTATTATTACTCTCTGCTTCCTAATATACTGTCTCATAATAACACTTTGAAGAATTATCCTTATCTAATACCGATGTATGCAAAGAAATAATGAGGCTCTGTAATTTCCCATGAGATTAGGCATTTTTTGCTAGTATCTTAAGCTGAGACCTGGGGTAATCTATTATATATTAGCAGAGTAAAACTCCTGTCTGGTGGAGCAGTTCAAGCGTTGCTCTGAAACAGGGAGTTCTTGGACTGATTCCGAAGCAGAACTTTGCCTTACAGTGGAGCCTTCCCTCTGCAGCTGAGCTAGCAGTTTAAGGTAGCCTTGTGGGTCTCTTATTTAAGAAGTGCTGTTCAGTGCACTTTTAAAATCCTGGACAACATATTGGGTAGTGAGAGGTTTTCCTCAAGAGTAATGGCATGCCCATTAATTCAGTTTATAAAATGCTAATATTATTTCTAGGGGAAGGAAAAAAAAAAAAAGGACGTGAATGCAGTGCTTTAGGGACTAAGGGAAAATACATCATGCTCCAGGTAGCAAATATTCTATGGACTCATGCATTTTTCTTAATGTTCTGCATGTACATTGTTTAATTAGCATTTCAATATATGGGCAGCAGAATTTAAATGTAGCTAGTGGTTGTGCTTACAGATACTTCAGCATTACCAGTTGACCTGACCTTCAGCTGACCTCCCAAACCCTTTATCGACCTCATTACATCTGTAAATAATGATTATTTTAAATAACTTATTTTTAATGTGACTTTGTACGTGATCTTTCTGCCATCTACCCAAAAGTTAACTGTTGTTTAACCTAGTTAAACTGACTTAACCTAGTTAAACTGACTTAGGTTTCTGTTTGAGAGGCTTAGAGCTGTTCTGAAGAGCTGCTTGTTCAGCGTGCTGCTGGTGCAACTTTGGAGACTGATTATTTTAAATAACCTTAAACTGTAACAAAAATTATACAAAATAGCATTGTGATTAAACGCACCGTACTTATCAAGCTGTATCAGGCCAATTGAGTTCTGCCATGGTTTGAAGGACCTTAGTGTGAGAAGAGTCACGAGGCACAAAGGTGGTAGCCTCAGTTGAAGGCTGGTGCCTAATGTTTTTTTCATAAAATTGAGTTGTATTTCAGGTTTGGTGAGCTCATCTTTCCCACCTGCAATGAGTGAGTGCCTCAGCAATTTATGACTGACTAACCTTGCTTATTTGGGGCATCCTTAGAGCACTTTAATAATACAAATATGAAGAAATAATGCTCGAGATACACAGGTGATGGAATCTTTTGCAAAAGATGGACTGCAAATGAAGAATCAAGTTTGCAGCAGCTAACCCTGAAATGATGATTTGGCAGAAGCCCAAAGTCACTAGTCTTGTCTTTTGGGGGTATCGTAGGCCAGCACTGAGCTGTGTGAGAAGGGGGAGCTGCGAAGGCTGTGCAAGGAAACGGAGACATCAGAGCTGCCCCGGGAGACTGGTTGGGAAGCAGGGTGAGAAAAAGACTCTCACAACGTAGTTGGGGTTCCAAGCAGCTGAATGAGGCAGTAACTGATAAGGGTAACATAGAAAATTTGGAGTTGGTGAAAGACTGTTAGAGATAAGGCGAAAAATAACCAAGAGCAGAGAATGAGGGAGAAGGGAAGAAAAAGGAAAGGAATTTTCTTTTTAAAAGCAAAAATGATGTAAAGAAAATGAATGGTGCTATTAATAGACATATGATTAAATATTGGAAAATCAAATGTGCTTAAAATGAAATAGTAATTGAGTCTAGGTTGTTGTAGTTGACACTATAGCTAGACATGGCCAGGAGAAATATGAAAAAATGAGAGAGGAAAAATGGCATTTCAAAAGTAATATTTTAGGAACATATTTAATCCTTAAGCTAATACAGTAGAATTTATTAAAGAAACTGGGGGTAGCTGTATTCTGACAGCTGCTTATTCAAAGAATGATTTAGCATTAGCTAAATGTTTAATTTTCTTATTTATTTTTCGTGCAGCTTCAGAACCCTGTACGAATCATCTCTGAAATTTTTGGATGAACTTTTGAACCCTTGACACACAGAAGCTTCTGTCATGAAAATTAAAGGAAGGAAGATGTGTTGGTTTTGAAACCAGAAGATTATCTTGTAAAAAATTATTAATACTTCACATTTATATTCTTTTCTGTACGTTTGAAGTAAGCAAAATGTATAAAAATGTATATAGATAATATAATAGTAAAGATTTTTCAAACATTTTTAGAGTGGATATTCTGTATAGTATTTTCACATTTGGAAGTAAGTAAAATCATTATCTCTGGATGTGTTTTTTATTAAATAATAATTATATTTTGTCAAATACTGTGAGAGGAGGAAGTGCATAACCTCAGTCCCTGGGGTTATGAAAACGAAGGCTGTTTTTGGGGATCTGGGAAAACATTTCCTGACACAGGAACAAATACATGGTGATAAAGAGTTCACCAAGGACCATTCAGCCTGATCAGCTTAACTGCCTCCTTTCTGTGGGCAAAGAGGGAGCGATGGATTCTATTTTTCCTGCTCTTTTCAAGGCTTTTGACAGAGGCTGCTACGGTGTCTTTGTGCTGTTAAACTGCAGAGTGAGAGCCTGGATGGGAGGAACCAGAAACCTCTGGGTTCTGGTGGGAAACAAGCTGGAGTGCAGGCGTGAGGAGCCAGGGCTGACATAAAGCCCATGAAGTTCAGCAAGCCCCATGCAACGTCCTCCACCTGGGATGGAATAATCCTTTAACCAGCGCAGGCCGGGGACCACCACCTGGGAGATTGTTCAACAAGAACCTGCTGTCAACATTCATGGTGGCAACAAAGAAAAACTTCTTGAGGAGCCTGAATCAAAACTGGAGACTGAATTGGGCCGGGTGGCTCAGGGGGAACATCCCTCCTTGGAGCTCTGCAGAACCTGAACTTGGCTGAGCAGGGCCCTGACCAACCTGATCTGATTTTGATGGTAGCCCTGCTTGAGCTGGAGGTTTCACCAGATTCACTCCTGAGCTTCCTCCCAAATTATATTAACCCTGTGATTCTAAGTATACTGGAGGGGAAGTGCCCCAGGTATTAAATATATATTTGAGAAGTACATAAGTCAAATGTTTTTATATTTTGCCATTTTTATAAATTAAGACCAATAGTGCAGATGTATAAGCCCTTATTTGACTTTCTTAATGCAACCAGATGCTTTCCTAAGACGAGGAACAGAATGTTGACTGCAAATTATTTTCCCCTTAACTAAGGCACTTATGAATTAAATGTCTGAGTTCATAATGCCGATTTTTTATCTATTTTAGGAGATCTAATAGATTTCTCTAGAAAATGTGTCAATTACAGACTGTGAATGGACCGTCCTAGACGTTGGACATCTAACTCCTGGCTCCCCCCAGCTGAGCGAGGTGAGTCCCCCACCGCGTGTCCGTGCAGCTGCTTCGTGTGGGGGGTGCTGACCACCAGCGGGTTTAGGCAGCTCCGAGGGGCCCCCTCGAGGCCTCCTGGCTGGGGTTTGGGTACAGGCCTTTCCCTTTCACATCAGCTGTCCATCTACCACATCTTGCTCTTTTTTTTTCTCTAATATCTCTGCTCCAGTGGAATAAACGGCCTTTTCCCAACACTAAGGCTAACTGGGAATTTAATGTAAAGCATCGCAGCCTCCCTCTCTAGATAAAAGCTAATTTAGTGGGAAAGCCTATATTTAAAAACAATTATAAACTTTATAAAAAAAAGTCAGACTTTGCATGAGGAGACTTGCGATGTGGATGGGTAAGTGAATTCCAGAAGACTCGCATTATCCACAGCAGTGACGCGAGCCAGGGAGATACCGCTGCCGCAGCAGGTAGCTGTAGTGCTGCCAAATGTTTATCTATCAACATCTTTATAAAGACTGTGTTCCTTGGCCTCGGCTCTTCGACATCTGTTAACAGGCAGGTGTTCCAGTAATGACCTTTTAAATCTTCTAATTATACAAGTTAATGAATATGTAAATCAGTTCCTTTTCTCTGCTTCTCATTCTTTAAATTTGTTCATATTACAAGAGAATTCATTATTGTCTTGTTCTTTGGTGCATTATGCTGCTCTTTCAGTGGTCACTTGTTAGGGAACATTTGTGTCAGACCCAATGTCCCAGAACCGGGGAGAAATTGAGGCACTAACAACCTGTCACAAATGCAGATTTCTGCTGCAGAAACTGGGAGAAGATTCTGCCAAGAATAAACCTCTGACCTCCTAGTGCCAGGTGCTTCAGTGATTCTCAAGAGTAGAAATAGTTTTCTGCTTGCAGGGAAGCTGGTAAAACTCAGCTTGAGCTTCACTCCAGGTATCTAGTAGCTGCCGAGACACGGTGAAATTTGTTGGCTTTCTGCAGCAGAAGTGACGACCTTCTCGGGATTTCCTGAGGCCAAGTCAGCCAGTGCTCTCTCCTTAGGCCTTTGTGGCAGACTTACAACAGTATGAATTTTAGGTTTTATTCTCTCTGTTCATTGCAAAGCTATTTAAGTCTTGCCAAAGTATTAAATTCATGCATTTTGCTTCTGTTGTCAAGATAATCCAGTCTAAGGCACGTGGTATTTTATCTTTTGGAAGCCTGTAAATCAGAGGATTTTCTTATTTATTCAGAATGTGAGGGAGAGGGTTTTTGTTTGTTTCTGTTTTTATTTTAAGCCTTCAGGACAGTTTATTCAGCAATCTGCAGCATACAAGGCGCACCTCTGAAAGCTCTGTACTGTTAAAGCAGCTCCTTGGAGATGCATTCAGCCTTTGCAAGAAACTGAACTTGGCTTTGAGAATACAATTGTTTGAAATATGAAGACAGCTATCTGAAGAGATTCCTTAGAACAATTTTGATTTGTAGTTGCTGAATTTTCTAGTCACAGCTGTGCCTGTTAGCAGCAATACCTCTTAGCCCTTCTCTTTCTACATACATGCCCAGGACTAACAGTACTGAATAAAGAAATAGCTTCAGACTATCTGCAGTGCTGTGAAAGTCTTTCCTCTAACTCTTTTATTATTATTATTATTATTAGTAGTAGTAGTAGTAGTAGCAGTAGTTTAATTTTTCCCTGTCCAGGCATCTTTGCTTAAGCTTCATGTGTGCTTAAGCTTACCTTTTCTGAAGACAATATTCATTTGCTGTCTTGTATAAGAAATAAAATCCAGTGGTGTTCCACCTCATAGCTTCAAATTCTGAGCTAAGGAAAAGCCAAAAAAAGGCTCCCAAGCTTGTTCCTTGGCAAAAATAAATAAATAAATAAATAAATAGAAGTATTTGAAGGCGGATCTGACCATGCAAACTCCACTCCAGACCTTGCATACTTGCAAGGAAAAGAAGAAATGTGCCTCTTTGCCCCATGCTCCTGTGTTTAAACTCCTGTTGGCTGTTTCTAGCAATTGCTGTGAGGTCTGGCTTGGAGACCAGCAGCAGCAGTGCCCAGCTCTGAAGGATCAGCCTGCACTGGCTATTCCTGCTCAGGGAGGAACTGGGATGAAAGGGGTCAGCACCCTCAAAGCTGCACAGGTTCCTGTGCTGACACAGGGGTAACTGCAGAGAAACTCTCCACCAGGGCAGTGAAGTGTCTTCTCCACATCTACCTTCCTCATTCCTCCTTTTTCTGTCTAGTGACACATGAAAGTTCACAGCAAACAGGCACAAACCTTGCCTGGGCTTTAAGGGCTCTGTGCTTTTAGCTTCAATTTGCTCAACAATCTGGATTTTTTGCACTGTGTTACGCTGTTTGGCACAGGTGTGTCCTTAGTCTCTTCTGGAAACAAGCATCTGTTCTGTTCCACTCCGTGATTCCAGAAAAACAAGGCAAAAATTGTATGAGGAAATTTAAACACTGGGAATTTCCCTCCTCTTACTAGTGGGCACTTTATCACAAAGGACCTCAATAGCAGCTCTGTTACTATCATTTTATTGCTTATGACTCTAGTAAATAGAAGCTGCTACCAACTTTTTCTCCTGTGTCTTTTTTTTTTTTTTTTTACAAGAAGGTGACCTTTCTTTCAGCAAAATAACTTAGTTCTCACACATGTGACTTGACACCGATTTTGTACTGTTTCTCTTTCTGCAGACATGGTACTAAACTGCTCAATGCAAAATTCTGATTCATTGATTGATGTTGCTGCCAACTTTGTACCAGTTTCAAATATATCTTCAAATTTAATCAGTTCATGCTTGGTTTTTTTTCTTGTCATTAATGAAATTAAATAAGATGCCTCTCCAAAACATCGGTAGTAACTTAGTAACTCTTTTTCAGCCTGATCTATTTCCCTCTTCTATTTAATATTATTCCTACCATAATCCTTGTTGTTTTGCTTTGCTTTGTTTACTTGTTTCATAATGTAACAACCACTATTCACTAATTGCCTAAAAAGGTACCTGAGTATCAGCTTAATAGGAAACATAGGCTTTGCACACTGACCTTTTTTGCTTATTAAGGGTGTATATTTGCTACTCAATTTTATCAGAAGGCATCTAGGGAAAAAAAAAAAAATAAGTATCTGTAAGAGGACACAAATCAGACTGGATCAATCTAAGGGCACATTAAAAAAACACATTTAGCCCACGCTCCAGACTCTTTCAGGACAGTGTGACACATGTTCTCACTGCTCCGTTGAAAAAAAGGCTTTTGCTGAGGCTGCTCTTTTCACTCACCATAATGGCAAAAGCCACAGTCTTGAACCCTTTCCTAAGACTGCTCACTTCAATATGTAACACAAAGTATTTTGCTCTTGCTTCTTCCTCAGATCCAAACAAAGGGAGGCTCTAAGCTTGTCCTTGCTTTCACAAACCTGAACTTCCATCATGGCAAAAACAACAGTCTCTTTTTTCTGCTCCCTGTCCCCAGATTCTCTAAGACAGACCATTGCCCTTGATCTGCAGTATGGCTATTTTCACGAGGCGGCCTTGCCCACAACACCCAAAATACTTGTTTTTCAGGGAAAGCTGGACCTATCCCCTGCTTTGGCAGGTCACCAGGGCCAGCAGATGAATTCCCTCCAGTAAAGCGCAACCAGAGGAGTTCTCTGTGTGATTCCCACAACTGACAACCTTCTGCAGCTGTTTCAGTCCTCACCACAATATTCAAACTCAAGGACAGTATAGACTGCATGACATATAACATATGAGTCAAGAACTATACTATATATATGAATGAAGAAAGTGCTT